GGCGGACCTAGAAGATGAGGCCGCACGGTACAAGCAGCCGTACTTTGGCCTCATCGCCGATGGCATCCACCTGTCTGCACAAACGCTCAAGATTGCCTACTCCGCTCACCCAGAAGGCGCAATCCTGGTTACCGATGCGCAGAAGTTTTCCGGATGCCCTGATGGCGCCTACGAGTGGCGAGGAGAAGATCGCTTCGTTAAGGAAGGCAAGCTGCTCAAGCTGGAGAGCAACGGACGTATCGCTGGCAGTGTGGTTGATTTGATCGACTGTGTCAACAACTTCAAGCGATGGACAGGATGCGGAACGGCGAAAGCGCTGGAATGCGTGACTAGCACACCAGCCAAGATGTTGGGCAAGGACGTGGAGGCCACCAAGGGAAGACTTGAGGTGGGGATGGATGCGGACCTCGTGGTTCTCGAGGAGGGTCTCGAGGGAGATCTCACTGTGCAGCAGGTTTGGAAGTTTGGCGTCCAGGTCGTCTAGATTTCTGTGACGTTGGTCATTGTGTGGTTCTAAGTCATCTTGTCAAAAGTTTGGTTGAGCTCGGCGTTAAAGGATTATGGTTACAGGATATGATGGGAGACGACTTGAGAAGCTCTGGCTGGCCATGCCATGATCTATAGAAGGGGTTTTTTTTTATTCTTTGATGCAACGGCAATGTTGACCCGGAATGATGTGCATAAAACGAGATACCTGTAGATTTGGCCGGGATAGACGATGTTATGTATACTATGTGGTAGATGTCCGGCTGTGTATGTATATTTGATGTTCGAATGTTGATTTGGTTTCCCTGTTCGCTTGTGTATACAACTATACCTCGTACTCGTCCTGCCTTTCTTACGAACGGAATTCGGTTGTAGTCGGTACATAGCGGAAAGTCAGTAGAGGCTGTGGCTGTGGCTGTAGTGGTCAGAACGAGCTCCCTACTTCTCCCGATACTCGGACGGCTTCCGTGCGATTTCCACCCATAGGAAGATCGGGATGATTTACGCGTCTAAATCAATGGTATTCCTACGTCAGGCGTTGGTCGACGCCATCATCATCACATTCTCTTTGCCACATATTGAGCCATAATCATATTGCCCATGGCGGTGGAACGGAGAGCTCACCATGTCGCTCTGCTCAGCAACAGCACCACGTGGTGGTCTAGACCTGCGGGACTGCGCTACACCCCCGTGAGACGCAGAAAATAGCCACCAGGGGTGATTAGCTCTCCCCGCGTCTTTTCTTTTTTGTTGGGCCAACAGCACAAGACGATCTTGGACTCACCACGTCACGACGACACTGAGGATCGCCCTGGCCGATTTCTCTTCACCTCTTGTCTTCTCCTCGAGACCACACGTTGCTCACGACTTCCATCTGCCTCGTTGTGGCCTGTTTACGTCTGCGACCCCTGAAGCCATGACACTCCGGAAACACTACACCCCAGAGTAAGCCACCTCTTGACCAGCTCATTCAAATGGGCCCCCATTCACAGTTCTAGGATCCTTCTGAGCGCTCCAAGACGGTCGGCGGCAGTTCCGAGTCCTGATGGAAAGCTCGCGCTCTTCACACAGTCTACCTATTCGTTCGACACCCACTCTAGAACCAGCGAGATATGTTGTCTGGACCTCACTCAGGGCACAACCGTCACCATCAGCAAAGACCCCAAGGCTAGCGAGCCCAGATGGCTGGGTACCAACTACGAGGTCGTCTGGTTGAAGGAGTGCGAGAACGGCAACACCTGCTTGATCGTCACCGACGCCACTCTTCCCGGCAAATGCTACACGGCCGGCACCATTTCGGGCCCTGTCTCCAATCTCAAGCTATATGTCATTGAACCCGGTAAAGTCGCCGTTGCAGTTGCCGGTCAAGCAAATCAAGATGGCAGCTTGCACAATCCCAAGGATGTCCCCAAATCCCACACTTCGGCGCGGGTCTATGACTCGCTGTTCGTGCGACATTGGGATGCCTGGATCACCGAGCAGCGAAACGCCGTCTTCGTAGCCTTGTTGCAAAAGTCACAACCTGTGGTGACTTCACGCCAGGGCCGATATGGCTTGCTAGGCTTCAAGAACGCATTACAGGGCTCAGATCTGGAATGTCCCATTCCACCGTTTGGTGGAGTCGACCACTTCGACATTGGCCCAACAGGTCTGACCATTGTGGCCAAGAATCCGCACCTCAACCCTGCCACGCATACCAAGTGCGATTGCTGGTTTATCCCAAAACGGGATATTTTGGATCTGAAGCCCGCAAGCTTCCACAAGATTCACGCCCACGGGTTGAATGGAGCAGCTTCATCGCCTGTCTTTTCGCCCGACGGGGAGTCCCTGGCATTCCTTCAGATGGCCACCGACGGCTACGAAAGTGACAAGAATAGAATCGTCTTCGTCCATGGCCTGAGTGCACTTGAAAAGGGCGAGTCTGTATCTGCGGTTGAGCTCATGCACACCGAAGATGGCAAAGGGGGTTGGTCCAGGTCTCCCACCGCGCTAAAATGGTCCGTGGACGGCAAGATGCTGCTGATGGAAGCCGAAGACACCGGACGCGGATGTCTCTTCGCGCTCGACCTAACAGATGCTCCAGGCCCAGATTGGCGACCTCGCCAGGTGACCCATAGCGGTTATATTATCGACTTTGCTCCCATGTCGACCAAGACTAATCTCTTACTTGTCTCTAGCAATAGTCTGGTCGACAACAGCACATACACCCTCGTGAATCCCGACCCTCTGGCCGAGGCTCCACCGGTGGTCATTTCGTCGCTGAGCAGAAACGGAAGCATGTTCGGCCTCTCTCCAAAACAAGTATCCTCGATATGGTGGAAAGGTGCGAATGATCACCCGGTGCACGCCTGGATGATGAGACCCTCATTCTTTCGGGCGGACCAGAAGTACCCCCTCGCATATTTGATTCATGGCGGCCCCCAAGGTGCTTGGAACGATCAGTGGTCGACCCGTTGGAACCCTGCCGTCTTCGCTGAGCAGGGTTATGTGGTTGTCTGTCCGAATCCGACCGGCTCGACAGGGTATGGCCAGGCCTTCACGGACGCAATCCGAAATCAGTGGGGTGGTCTCCCTTACGAGGACCTCGTCAAAGGGTTCGAACACATCGAGTCGGAATTAAGCTTCGTTGACAGCTCGCGAGCAGTCGCCTTGGGTGCTAGCTACGGCGGGTATATGATGAACTGGATTCAGGGGCACGACCTGGGCCGCAAATTCAAGGCGCTTGTCTGCCACGATGGGGTGTTCAGCATGACGGGCCAGTTGGCGTCCGAGGAGCAGTACTTCCCCGTTCACGACCTCGGAGGGCCGATTTGGGAGCGACAAGAGATCTACGACAAATGGGATCCCAGCCGCTTCACCAAATTCTGGGAGACTCCCATGCTCGTGATACACAACGAGCTCGACTATCGTCTAACTGTCGCTGAGGGTCTGTCAGCATTCAACGTGCTCCAGATGAAGGGGGTCGAGAGTCGGTTCCTGAGCTTCCCGGACGAGAATCACTGGGTGTTGAAGCCTGAGAACAGCCTCGTCTGGCATCTCGTCGTGATCAACTGGATCAACAAGTTCGTGGGATTGCCCCAGATTGTCGATCGCCAAGGCAGGGATGGCTCGGGGTTTTGCAGGCGGGAAAGTAGGAGGCCCTGGGTCCGGAGTTACGGGACGTCGCGTCTCGAGCAGTGAATTACGTGGGACCATCTTGTGGATATGTTTGAGGCAGAGATTCTGGAAGTAGAGGAACGACACTCCTCTCATGGAATGGAAAGCGTGAGAGTTGGTGCTCTGTAGCGCATCTCATCCCACTCTCCCAGGATATTAATACAGTCATGTAAACCAATTCAGGACTCGGTAGTGTCCTTCAACCGCCTCTCAATCACGAGGGATTATGGTTGCTAAGTAACTCCTCCCTCACCAATTCCGACAATATTTTGTTGTCCAATGGTTTGCCGTCCAGCTCACCTCCAGGTTTCAATAGCTCCTTCATGACAGCGCCCTGCTTTAATTCTCCTTGCGCAGTACTTCTCAACGTCTCTATCTTCGATCGGACCACCAATCTGACGGCGGCAGGATCCATCAACTTGACACTCCCCACCAGTTCATCAATGACCTCCATCTCTTTCGCCTGCTTCTCTACCAGGTCGGCTCGTTTCGCGGCTTCGGCCTCCTTTATCGCTGCCTGCGTGGCAGCTTTCCGTTTACGCAGCAAGGCAAGGATCTGAAGGTCTGACTTTATGGGCGTGGAAGACGAGGCGGCTTGGTTGATCTCGGAAATGGTTCCCCGGAGGACCGTTAATCTTACCTCGGGGTCTGTCTTAGCATCTTGAAGTATTCGAATGGGGCGTACAGCAGGCGTTGCAGTGTGTAAGGGACTGTGCCGCCCTTACCTTGATGTGTCCTTTGCACGCATGGCGCTTTTCAAGTCACTCTTGATTTTGACCATCAGAGGTGAAGCTGGAGCTTCAGTCGACGTGGATGACCAGCGCAGGCCCGAAGTTGCAATTCTGCGGGTACATCGAGAGCAAATCGGCTGGTCGAGGAGGAACAAAAGCTTCGAACTGCGGATTGGCGCCATGTCTGCCACTTGTCAAAGACCAGGTATAGGCTGAGATGGACCAAGGTAAAGGAGCAGGTCACAAGTGCACGCAAGTGGTAAGTTTACAGGTCCGTGGGAGAGACTGGTGAACTTGGTACAAATTGTTTTGCGCGAGTCATGGTACCTGACGCTAAACCTCTTCTGGTATGACCGCATTACTTTCCATCTCCAGTCGCGTCTATATTTCTATCACTGTCTCAGTAAACCACAACTTGACATTTCACAGAGGCCTGGAGTGCGGCTGTTTCTACGTCACATATTGCCCTTTGTCCTCCTGGAACTGTGTTAATTTACGTCGCCTCTGAATCGATAAGCTGCGTCGCCCTTCCGTGCTGTCCTTGCACAGCGACTGCATCGATTCATGTCTGTTCACGATTAAACCAGTCACCCTCCCTTGCGACGACGACTCTACCCCCTGCCAACCATGGGCTCTGTAGTTACGCAGACGCCTGTCCGGCCTGTGCCGGGCATCTGGCCTCAGACTCCCGCCGCCCGTCCACCACCGATACCTGCTCCCTCCTTTCAGTCTCCCACGACTCCCATGTCCCGCCCTTCCCTCATACCTTCTCAGCCTTCAGCAGGTCTCATCACCACAAATCCTTCCGATGCGCCCATACAAGCGTCGATGCGCCCACCTGAGTCTCTGGAACCCGTGGAAAGAGCTGCGCGCACAATCAACGAGTCCCTTGCAAGTGAATCGCGATTTCCAGATGTCGACAGTTACTTGTCCCAGGGTTACTCTGCCGACTACGACATCCAGTCTTCGACGACATGGGCGCCCTTTCAGCGAGCTGGCTTTTACAGGATTCCCGATGAAATCTTCGAGCAGTATAATAACGCGCAGTTGACCACGAGTATGGGCCTGTTTGCGGAGCTGAGGTATGCTTGGACAACAATCGACAATGCTTTGTACATGTGGGATTACTCGGCACCAAGACCCGAACTCCTGGGGTTTGAGGGACAGTCGCACAGCATCCTTGCCGTCAAGCTCGCCGTCCCTCGCGCGGGGGTCTTTCTACCGAACATCAAGAACGTCATTGTCATTGGAACAACTGCGGAGATATTTCTGCTGGGGCTAGGGACCGACTCAGGTCCGGGCGGCTCTTCTGCGCTCTCTCTCTTTCAGACCGGAATGTCGGTGTCAGTAAGAGGTCTCGATGTCAGCGTCATTGCATCCTCTGCAAAGACTGGGAGGATATTTTTCGGTGGCAGGACGGACAATGACATCTATGAGGTCACATATCAGCAAGAGGATCGGTGGTTTGCTAGTCGATGCGCGAAGATTTGTCACACTAGTGGTGCTGCCAAGTCTTTAACATGGACATTCAGCAGCTTTGCCCACGGACAGAAGGAGTATGTGGAACAGATTGTGGTGGACGACAGTAGAGATCTGCTGTACACGCTTTCTTCCACTTCGAATATTCGTGTGTTCCACATCAAGCCGGAAGGCGGGCTACCTCTCTTGGTCACGAAACCTGCATCCGAGATCTATGACAACATCGGCCATATCATTAATCAGAGCGAAGCCCTCAACAACCGAGTCAAGATTGTGTCGATATCGCCTCTTCCAGCCTCCGAAGCATCCAGGTATCACCTGGTTGCGGTCACAGCGACCGGTTATCGAATATACCTCAGTGCTAAAAGCGCTACCAGCTACAGCTATGGATCTTCAACCCGGTCCAGTGCTCCCATCAGCGTGCAGGCCCAGCATGTCAAAGTACCGCCCGTATCCCCCAACCCAGGTCATTCAAGCACATGGGGGACGGACTCATCCACCGACGTCCATCATCCCATCAGGACGTTGACAACAACTCGACTCGCTGCACGGTATCCACCTGGGTACTTCTTTTGCTTCACAGCCAGGGACGCCAATTCGCCGACCGACCAACTATTTATCTCAGCCCCTGATGCCGGCAGACTGCTGAGGAGCTCTGAACCAGGCCAGACAAGTCGAACTTCGGAATCCGCAATATGGCTGTCACTGGGCAGTCGGGCAGAAGACATAGGGTTAGTGATTCCCTACTCTGCTCCGATTCCGAATCCAGTGGGCTATGGGAACGACTTGGCTGTACAGTTCGACAAGGCCATCCCCGAAATTGCCATTTTGACGAATACGGGCATCCACATAATCAGAAGGCGCCGCCTGGTGGACATTTTTGCAGCTCTAAGCAGTCAAGGGGGAGGGCCTGAAGGATTCCAGCACGAGGTGAGCAACTTGATCCGGGCTTATGGCAGGACGGAGACTCTAGCTACGGCACTGGCGGTCGCATGTGGTCAAGGGGTGGAGGACACAGGGAGTGCTCAGGCGGTACGGGTTAATGACCCTGAAGTTCTCGAGCTTGCCCGCAAGACCTTCATCGAATACGGCGGAAAGCCGAGCATCAATCAGAATTCCATCACCGACAGATCTGTGCCGTTGATCGACGCCGTGCGACCATCGCCGCGCCATGCGGCCATTGCTCTGTACCTTTCGCGCTTATTGAGGTCGACGTGGAAGAACGTGATTGCTCTAGAATCAACCACACCGGCTGGTTACCAGATCAACCCTGCTGTACCTCTGAAAAAATTACGAGATGTCCAAGAGTCGTTGTCTGCGCTTCAGCGCTTCTTCCAAACGAACAAGAGTTTCATCAAAGGCCTGAGCGGACCTGATGATCTTTCAGCGACAAGCACCAAAGACGACGAGATCGCTCTACAGGGCGAACACCGTGCCTTGCATTCATTGGTCAAGTTTACGTCCGACACCATTGAAGGACTCTCGTTTATTCTGGTCTTGTTCGAAGAGAAGGTGGCGGAGATAGTACCCCTGCTGCCGGAGGCCTCAAGACCGGAAATGTTGAAGCTCACCTTTGAGGAGCTCTTCACGACGAAGAAAGGGTATGAGCTTGCCAAAGAGCTCGTCAAGGCCATTGTCAATCGCAACATTGCCAAAGGGTCGAATGTGGAGACGGTTGCTGAAGCCCTGCGCAGAAAATGCGGCAGCTTCTGCAGTGCAGACGACGTGGTGATCTTCAAAGCCCAAGAACAATTAAGACGAGCGGCCGAAGCGGGAACGAACAACGACTCTTCACGGAATCTTCTGAATGAAAGCTTGAAACTGTTTGAAAAAGTGGCCCACAGCCTGCCTCACGACTACCTGGAATCTGCCGTGAAACAATATACGGATCTGCAGTTCTTTGCTGGAGCCATTCAACTTGTCCTTCGGGTTGCTCACGAAAAGGACAAGGCGAATGAAGCACTCTCCTGGATGGCGGAAGGTCGACCAGAGCCGGATCCGCGAAAAGCAAAGTTTGATCTGCGGAGTCAGTGCTATGATCTGATCCACGCGGTTATTGTCGCCGTTGATAAGACGACGGAACAAGGGCCGAGTTTTGTGGACGGCCACCCAACGCTCGCTGCCACGAGACGGAATGAAGCATACGATGTCATTAGCCGGTCAAAGGATGAGGCGTTCTTGACCAATCTCTATGATTGGTACCTCCAGCAGGGATGGTACGATCGGCTGCTGGCGACCGAGTCACCATTCATAGTGACCTATCTTCAACGCAGGTCGACCGAGGACATTCTCTATGCGGATCTGCTCTGGAAGTACTACAGTCAGACCAACCAATTTTCCGAGGCGGCCAAGATCCAGTTGCAACTTGCCAGAAGCTCGTTCCCACTCTCTCTGGAGAAGAGAATCGAATACTTGAGCAGGGCGCGGGCGAATGCCTCAACCTACACCCCAGGAGGCAGCCGGAAGATGAAACAGCAGCTCCTCCAAGAGATCACCGAGCTCCTGGACATTGCGACCATTCAAGATGAAGTTCTCCAGCGGTTACGGGACGATTATCGACTCGGACCCGATAGGCGACAAGAAGTTCTTGACCAGGTGAATGGACTGATTTTGGACATCAACACGCTGTTCAACAACTACGCGGACAATGCCGGATACTATGACCTTTGTCTGTTGATCTACCAAGTTGCCGATCACCGGGATCCGGCCCAGATCAAGCAGACCTGGCAACAGCTCCTCCAGTCGGTACATGACAAAGTCCAGGAAGAAGGGCAGATCCAACCCTTTGAAGCCATCGCCGATGAAGTCAGAAGTCTGGGCAGCAAAATGCGGGTGGCGGAGACGACGTTCCCGGTCCAAACGTTGCTCCCTATCCTGGAGAAGTACTCATTCGAACATCAACGCAACGTGGCGCCTCCGCATTGGGTTGTGGACATCTTTTTGTCTCTTGAGATTCCTTGTGAGCGGCTTTTTGAGATCTTGGAGATGATGTTCTTCTCGGGGGATCCGCCGTTTGTGGGATCCAATCGCAAGTACATCGCCTCGGAATTGGTTTATGTGGTCGGCCGATGGTTCCACGACTCGACGAGAGCAGGGTCTGTCATCTTTGGCAGTGAGGTTGCTGCGACAAAGGTGCAGGAGACGATGCATGCCTTGTTGCAGCAAGGGAGAGCGGCAGGGCTGGACGAGGAGACAACGAGGGTGGCCAGGGAAGTGGTTGAGAGAGTTGGGCGACTCCTAGGATGAGAGGCCGTGGCGGTGTCGATGTCGGTGTCGCTGTCGATGCCGCGTGTATCTTGTAATCCATATGCTCGGAAAATTCATGACCAGGTAGTGAGTGAGTGCATGGGGCATTTTGGAGTCTGGTTGACGAGGTTGGCAGTCTGCCACGAGGATCAGCAGCTCACCAGTTAGTTCGCCAGTTTGCCGGGTTGTAGAAAGACGAGATTGGATTTGGAATCTGAATTGAGGCTCGAATCTCCACGAGAACGTGGATGGTAGAGTGAAGACGAAGGTGAATGTAAATGTAAATGCGAATCTGAACCGAGATTCGATTCCCGATTTGGAAATCCCTGTCGTGGTTCTTTTACAACCCGATCACTTTTCTACACTCACACACCTTACATGCCGTGCCTTATATGACCACTTCACTCTGAATCCGCCTCGGAATGTGATATTTGTCCTGCTTGCCACCATCTCTATCTCCATCTTGCTCTCTGCCTCCCTCCGCCACCCAAATAGATGGCGACCACCACTCCAACCACAGTGACGCGACGCGCCACTCCCCGTCCCCTATCTACGCGGAAACTCGACATGTTGTATCTGGCTTTCTTCATCGTGCATGTCCCTATCATGTTTTGTAAGTCACAGGTTTTCCTTGGGACGGGCTACAAGATATAAGATCCAATTGGACAGGGATGTTTATTCCTACACTTCTACGTCTATCCTGCGTGCAACGATGACATTCACAGCCTTCCGTCCTCAAAAGATACTCGTCCTCCTCTCCTGTCCCCTTCTCCTATCCCATGGATGAATGACTCGACACTGACCAGCCTATTGTCAGTGGTGGACCTGGCCTCGATCCTCCCGTCCTTCCTCGTCTCGCCGCTCTCGAACACCCTGCGCGCGTACCAGCTCGAGCGGTTCCAGGATCAATTCTTCGTCAGCCCGCCGGCGTGGTTCACGGCGTACATGTGGATCGAGGCCATGTACCACGTGCCGATCAGTCTATGGATGGTTTGGGGGCTCTTTAACGGTGAGTTTGGGTAGATGTTGATATTGATATGATTTGGCATCCATTCATTCCATCCATTGGGCTCTTCTCTTGGTTCTTTAAAATGGCTAATAACAATCACCAACACTCCTGTTAATAGACCATCCTCTGGTCCCACTCCATCTCCTCATCTTCTCCCTCGAAGTCGCCGTCACCACCCTCACCTGCGTCGTCGACATCTCCTCCTGGAAAGGCTACTCGTCGGCTCAGAAGTCGGACCTGTACGGCCTCTACGTTCCTTACCTGGTACTCGGTACGTGTTCTCCTCGGCTCTCTCTCTCTCTCTCTCTCTCTCTCTCTCTCTGTGTGTGTGTGTGTGTGTGTGTGTCTCCTTGCCTTCCGTTGTCTTCTATGCCTTTATTCCGTTCCGTGTTCCGGTTTTCTAAGAACTTGTTTATCGGATTCTTCATGGACCCATGTCCATATACACTGTCAGGCTAACAACCTGGTGTTCCTGTGTTTCAGCGTGCCTCATGGGCGTCGATGCCTTTGTCCGCGTAAAGAGACAGATCCTGCAAAGTGGCGGGTTGGAAAAGGGCAAGACTTTGTAAGGTTCCTAGGTAGTACACAAAGACTCAAACAGTCCCTAAATTGGGAATTCGGGTCGAGTCTTGTGGTGTGATCGTGGTGTTTTATTTATATTGGAATGTGTTGGACGACATGAGATTTCAGTCAGTCAGATACATGGACCTCCTTTCTATATGCACAATGGTCAAATTGATTTTTCCCCTTGGTGGCCACAAATGAATAAGACCCGAAACCCCTTCAAATGCTATAAGAGAGGGACGCCTACTGGCACGGTCATGTATTTTGACCCCTTTGGTCCTTGACTCACACCATTCGTCGCCGGCTGAAGTCTAGAGGGCATTACACTCATCCCTCGTCCTCTGTGACCATAAGAGACTCTCCCCTCGCCCTCCAAAAATCACTTTTTCACTCACTCTCTCTCTCTCTCTCTCTCTCTCAGAATCTCCTCCCCTGGCAAAAAGTGCCACTCACAACTCGCCAAACTGCTCCTCGTACTTTGAAATGTGGGCGACCTTTTCGGCGCTGGCGCTGGACTCGTCGAAGCGCAGCTCGACCCACTCGTCGACCAGCTTCTTGGCCAGCTCGAGCCCGATGACGCGCTGGCCGAAGCACAGCACCTGGGCGTTGTTGGAGAGCACGCTGCGCTCGACGCTGTAGGGGTCGTGAGCCGTCACGGCCCGGATGCCCTCGACCTTGTTGGCCGAGATGGCGACGCCGAGGCCCGTGCCGCAGATCAGGAGGGCGCGGTCGGCCTGGTTTTAGCCATGGGGGTTAATAGCTAGATTCGAAGAGGGGGAATCTCTCTCTCTCTGTCTGTGTCTGTGGGTGTATGTGTGTGTGTGTGTGTAAAGGTGAATGAAACATACCTCTCCCGACTTGATCTTCTTGCACGCATCCACCGCCAGGTGCGGGTACGCGGTGGCGTCGTCGGCGTCGACCACGCCAACGTCCAGGACGTGCGTCACGCCCGCGTGTTTCTTGAGCACCTCCTTGAGCGCCGTCTTGTAGGCGTGGCCCGCGTTGTCGCTGCCCACGACGACCCGGAGAGGGGTTTTGGTTGACGTGCCGTTGGTCGCCATTCTATGTGCTGGAGGGATGGAATTGACTCGAGGTTTCGGCTCGATATCTGCACTACCTAGGTCTGTGTGTGTGCACGTGGGTAGATATGTTCGGTATAACGAGAAGGGATGATTTGGAGTGTAATGTGTGGTACAGCAGGTGGAGGCGGGGTGTGTACAGTACTCGATATTGGTATTGGTATCGTTAGGCGATAGGTGATACGTGTGTGTAGGTTTGTATGTATGGAAGCATACAATGTACAAAAGTCAATCAATAATAATATCAAACGACAAAATCCTGAAGATGGACAGAATCCCCCCATCGTCGCATTGTCTCTGCTTGCTGGGGCTCACACTCGACCTGACGACGGCGGCGGCGGTGCGACGGCATCCATTGCCGTGTCCGATTTGCCCGACTATGAACATGTTCCCAAGTCCCTCGTAAACATGGCGTCATTATCTCTCTTTTCTCCGAAAAAAAAAATTGGTCGGAGGTGGCATGGTGAACGGGATTGCCGTTTCGAGACTTCCGGGACCGGCTAAAGTCATTTCCTAACCACACACCCGACACGTGGGGGGGGGGGAGGGGCCAACGGATTGGTATGTGTTCCTCGTAGCGTACGGTAAAAGTTGTGTAGATGAATAGTGGGGAGCTATGAGAAGGCAAAAGGTAGTGGTGATCAATCGTCTTACTTACCCACTCAAACTACTGTGGTCACTGCTAAGAGTGAATACTTAGGTAAGTGGACAGGCGTCTTCCGTAATGGGATGTATATCGACGCACCTATGAGTAGCATCATTGACTTGACTCTCGACCAAAACAAAAATTCTGTCTCGACTACTTCCTCCTCCCGCTCCCGCTTCCTGCTCTCTGGCTTTCTGCATGACTGGAAACAATGTCTTCCTCACAACCATCATACCCTCGCCTCCCCTCCAAACTCATCCTCACATCCACAAAGGCCTACTTCTCCCCCTCGCGCACCGTCAAGTACCTTGCGTCCCTGCTCGACCCGGCCAACAACATCCTCCCGCTCCTCCAGCGGCACAGCGCCGAGGTCCTCTTCGTCCTCATCCCGGACTTTCTCACCATCTACCCGTGCGCACAGACTCTGAGCGCACAGTTCTCCTCCTTTGCTGCTGATACTGGCGGTAAAGATGTTGCCTCCAGACCTCCTTTCCTACCAGAGGACAAAGACCTAGACACGTCGTCGTGGCCCATCGCCCTCGGGGCGCAAAACGTCTACCCGTCCACCACCTACGGCGCCTTCACGGGCGAGATCGTCGTCCCAGGTATCAAGCAGCTAGGCTGCTCCGTTGTCGAGCTTAACCACGCCGAGCGCCGGCGGTACCTGGGCGAGGACGACGCCACCGCGGCGGCAAAGGCTGCCGCCGTCAGCGCCGCCCATATGGTGCCCCTGGTCTGTATCGGCGAGCTGGACAAGCCCGACCTCCGCGGCCCGCTGAGTCAGTCCGTCGGCGTCGCCATGGCTCAGCTGCGCCCGCAGATCCAGTCCGTCTTGACCGCCGTCCCGCACGACGCCCCCGTCATTTTCGCCTACGAGCCCGTCTGGGCCATTGGCGCCGCCGAGCCCGCCGGCGTCGAGTACGTCGGTCCGGTGGTCCAGGCGATCCGGGAGCTCGCGAGGCAGATCGTGCCGCAGCGAACGGCCGAGGTCAAGGTCGTTTATGGGGGCAGCGCGGGCCCAGGGCTTTGGAGTGGGAAGACCAATGGAGGGGACGGGCTGGGCAAATGGGTCGACGGCTTGTTTCTGGGGAGATTTGCCCATGACATCTCGGGTGTCCGAGGAGTCGTGGAAGAAGTCGTCGAAAGTCTGGAAACGAGGTGAAAGACTGAGCTTGTCGAACAAGGTGAAATTCACGCCGAAAATTATGTCCAAATTGGCTATCCATCATCTGATCGCTAGTCCCCAAGCAGGTCACCCATTTCACCACTGCAAAACATGCCCTCATCAAGTCATGAACTCATCAACCCAAACAAATATCACCACACATGGGCACAGATAGCCACTTCCAAACATGCTACATCAACTCCAAAACCCCCTTGAATGAGTTGATCGACCAAAGAACATTCGATTACCGCAGCTCTCACCCCTTCAACTCCCCGGGTGTCATGACAGATACCACACTTGTCCCTTCGCTGAACCTCGTCCGGAACACACGATTGGCGTTCTGAAACATGCCATCCTTCAAACTGACGACGATAAATTGCGACCCTTGGAATCTTGTCTTGATGATCCGACCAATATTTTGAGTGTGCGAAAGATCCAGTGCTGCGTCCACCTCGTCCAGAATATACATGGGAGCAGGCTTGAACTGTAACAGCGCAAGGATGAGTGATAGGGCGATGAGAGACCTATGGCAATGCGTTAGTACTGCCGTGACAGAACGACAGAATGCAAGCATGGCATACCTTTGACCACCTGAAAGCTCTGTGAGACTCTGCTTCCAGACTTTTCCCAAACACACCTTCACCTCCAACCCTTCCTGAATGCGATCAATGTTGTCATCCAGTGGCACCAATTTCGCCGTGTTGTTTCCTGGCAATAGGTCCGAGAAGATGTTCCCAAAGTCCTCGGTGACCTTGCGCCATGTCTTGATCAGCGCCTCTTTCTTGTATTTGTCCAGCGTGCTGATAGTCTCCTCAATCTTCTTCTTGTCTCGGATCACCGTCCGGAGCATTGTTTTGAGTGATGCCTCTTTCTTCTCGACACTATCGATCATGGGCATCACCTTGGGGTTGATCTTTTTCTTCATCCCTTGGAATCTCTCGGTGACGTTTTTCAGAGTTGCTCGACTTTCCGCCAAATTCTTGCCGTGGAAGTCGTACGGCGTGCCAGCACGTCCGAATTGATCTTTGTTGTCTTCAATCCAGTCATGCTCCTTTTCTAGTGCGGCCACCAGTTGCGCGGCTGCTTGGGCGTCCTTCTGAGCCTTCTCCACCGCGTGGCCCAGCTTTTGCGCCTCGAGTGCTTCTTCTGCGATTTGTTTGGATTTCTTCGACTTAGCTTGTTCCAGTTCGCGCAGCTCGTCGTCAAATCCCGTCAGTTTTGCTCGTTCGTCGTCCAATTCGGCCTGTGCAATGTCATGGTTGCTTTTCACAGTCGCTTCTTCTTGCCGGAGATTTTGGAGTTCTTCTTTCTGGTTCTCAATCGTGGTATCAGCCTCGGACAGTTGCTCCAGAGCCGCGTTCAAATCGCTTTCGGCTTGTTCACAGTCGATCTTTGCGTCTTGCAACTCCTTCTGAAGCGTTTTGATCGCTGCCGATGTCTTGCCCAGCGACTTTTTCAGGTCCACCAACGATTTCTCCAGTTCTTTGAGTTTGCTATCCTTGTTCTTACTGAAATCTTCCATGTCCTTTTCGATCCGCTTCACATCCCGTGCCGCCTCGCTTTCCTTGGCTTTGGCACCTGCCATATCTTGCTTCAGTTGCACGATTGACGCTCTCATCTCTTCGACTGCTTGGATGATTGATGAGGAAGAATTGCCCGAGATCTGCTCCTCTGCAAGCTTGATTTCATGACTTTTGAGATCCAGAACTTGCTTGACCGACTTGATGTTGGCAAGCTTTGTTTGCTCATTTCTCATAGTCTGTTGGAGCTGTTGAAGTTCTGATTGATGCTTCTGTAGCTCCTTCGTGACCTCATTTAGTTTTTGGAGAATCACAAGAACGCCGCTCGAATTAGGAGCACTTCCTCCAGAAAGCGTACCCGACGGATCATAGACGTCTCCTTCAAGCGTCACGCTCTTCAGCCGGACTGCAGGATCAAATGTTACTCGTTTTGCCGTTTCCGCATCCTGACAGATCAAAGTAGTTCCAAAAACGTAATCCATAGCTGCGGATACTTCGTGGTCGTACCCGATCAGGGACAGGGCAAGATCAACCTTGCCCGGCGCTATTCGCTGTGCTGCTCCAACCTTCTCTGCTGATGCTCTGAAAGCCGAAATCTTGTTGAGAGGAATGATGGTCACTCGCTTTTTGAGCTTTCCGTGCTGGAGCAACTGTGTTCCAGTCTCTGCTGTGTCGACAACGACGTTGTACAGTCTACCACCGGCACAAATCTCAAGCGCAGTGCCGGCGACAGCTTTGTCTTTATCCAAGGTAAAGAGTTGTGCAACCAAGCCCTTCACCCTCGAGCGGTCAAAGTTTGGCGAAGGATCGCTAAAATGAAAGTCGACGTTTGCAACTTTTCGCTTCAGCTCGTCGGCTTGTTGGGTAAGAGACCGGATGCTCTTTTGAAGAGCAACTTCCTGCTCCCGCATGCTCTCTTCGCGGCCTGGCTCGAATCCCAGGTTCTGGAGGTCTCTCTCCAGCTTCTGTGCTTCTTTGCGAAGTACTTCCAGACCCTTAAGGAGATCAGCATTCTGTTCACGAGCTTTTTTGGCCCGTGGTTCGTCTTCCTTTATCCGTTTCTCAAGGTGCGAGATCTTCATCTTGGCCTGTTCTTGTTCGGTGGTTGCGGCCGTCAATCGATTTCTAGCTTCCTGCAACTGGCCTTGATACCCACTTTCTTGGCCTTCGCGTGAAGCCACTCCGGTCTGGAGCGTTGACAGAAGCTCCTCTTTCTTCTCGACTTCAGAGACATGAGAATCATGCTCTGCTTTTGCACTGTCCCACTGCGACTGCAGTTTCGCGAGTCCTGACTTTTTGTCACTCACTTGCTTTTCCAAACTCTTGACAGATTTTGCGATATCTTTCTTTTTCTGCTCCTCTTCAGACAGACTGGACTGTTTCAGATCAAGCACAGTAGCCAGGCGTACAAGCTCATGGCTCAGTTCTTTCACCTGACCTTCGACTGCTTGAAACCGCCCACCTTTGCGCATCTCCTTTTCTCGAACAGCACGAACACGTTGAGCGTCTTCGTCCAAATTCTCAATCTCGCGTTTCAGTTTCAAGGAGTTCTCTTCCAAATGTTGCACCTTCGCTCTCTTGACTTCATGTTCTTGAGTTGCACTCTTCATCCTTTCGCCAGATCGAACGTAGTCCGCTGCGACAACCACCCGTGTCAGCCTCTCGAGCTCGCTTTGTGTCTTTTGATAGTCTAGCCACGCCCGTTTTTCGCCACGTAGTTTGTCGAGTTTGGGCTCTATCTCTTCGCGCAACAATCCTTCAATTTCGACAACCTTCATCTCCTTCTTTGCCATGGTCTTGACGGCTTTTTCCTTCCGATCCTCAAACATGCGGGTTCCTGCAGCTTCTTCGATCATGGCCAGAATTTCGGCAGCTTTCATATTGAGGACTTTTGTGATCCGTCCCTGCATGATGATGAAATTTGGGTTATTGATATTCAATCCAACGCTCTGGAATAGATTCTGGACCGTGGTCTGTTGCGCTCGGTGACCGTTGATCAAATATTTGCTTGTCCCACCCATAACTATCTGTCGCGTTACGCTGATCTGCGCATACTCTTCGAACCCGATCGGACTAGTGCTCTTGTCACTGTTATCAAACACGATTGTGACGCTCGCCTTGGTCACTCCCGCTTGGCCGCGCTTGTAGATGAGGTCTTGGAGGTTCTGCGCTCGTACGGTGGACATGTTGGTGATACCCAGTACAAAACATATTGAGTCAAGGATGTTGGACTTCCCAGATCCATTGAGTCCTGTCACCGCGTTGAAGCTTTGATCCCATCCAGAGATGACAGTTCTCTGGCTGTAGGATTTGAAGCTGCGCACGTTAGTTATCAACAATACCCAAGCGGACAGTTGAAAAGCCCTTACCCATCAATGACAAGTTCTATGATCTTCATGACGCCGAATCACGCAGTCAACGCGGTGAATCCTCTTAGAACACGTTCAGGCGCATGAACAATCTTTGCCTACCGTTTGACACAATCAGTTTGTTGACATGTCTCGAACTGGTTAGTTGAGCAGGCGGCTTGTGGAAGGTCTAGCGAGTTGATCTTGGCGCAGTTTTCCAATTGCGAAACTCAAGGAGCTTCGCTGCAACCGTGCCTCAAGCAGAGCTATAATCTCCGGATTTTGGGTCACCTTGCGAACTCCTCAAGACCCCTGTGAGCCAAAGATGGCATCAATCCCTAGGACAATCGCTGGACCTCCGTCAGTGACAAGGATCCCACTGTTCCTGGCGCCAGCCTTCGCGAGGCCATCCACCATCACAGCAACCTCATCAACGCCTATCATTCGATCTTATGCGACACAAAAGGAGGAGAAGAAAAGCCACACAAATTGGGCACTACATGCACGTCCTAAAATTGATCGGAACAAGAAAAGAGGTGTCTCCGCTATTCGACGGACTGGACCCAGGAGTATGCGAGGGCTCTGGAAATACCCTCTTCCAGTGCCTGTAGCACGAGATCACAGAGGAACGGCGGCAGAATATGCAGAATCTGCCGATCATGGGCTCTGGGGATTTTTCGACAAGTCCAAGCAGGCACTGCTTGCACCAGATGATGAATCGAGCCATGGTATGCAGGTTCCTCCTTGGCCGCTACGGCGTGAGTAAAAACAACGTGGGCTGACTATTGCTGTACGAAAACAGGACGGGCTTGGACGTACAAGGAGCTATCCGTCAAATCTTTCGAGGATCTCCATAAACTCTACTGGGTGTGTGTGAAGGAACAGAATCGAACTCTGACTCGAGAAAAAGAAAGACAACGTCTGAGGGCAGGTTATGGTGAAGTGGAAAGTGAGGAGAGAGTGGCTGTTGTAAGTGGTTCACCCTTCCTGGCTAAGTCACAATGATGAACCTCATCCTTTCACTCGCCGATATGAAACTCTGGCCTCTAGGACTGCTTAATCCTGTTGGTCATGATTCGAATATTACTGGAAAGTAATCTGATACCAGACTATGTCACGCTCAATTCGACTCACCAACTCTTTTGCGAGTGGAAAAAGCTGACAACATGATCTCAACAGGTACGGGAAACGATGAGCCTCATCAGAGAAGTCCTGATCGACCGCCAATTGTCATACAATCAAGCTCGAACGTTGGTTGGACAGAGAGAAGTGGCCGACATTCTTGGAGAACCACAGTCTGTTCTGGAGGATGACAACTCATCGGATCAGATGGAAACGATGTCACAACGTCGGTGATATCAAGTCAGGACGAGTCTGACCTGCCAAACCCCTTTCTGTATAAAGTAGCTCTACCGGACAAACAGCTCAGGGTCTGCGAGCCCCAACGACTGGTGGCTGAAGAGCAAGGATTTTCGATCCTCTGTGACAGCGTGTATACCTTAAACCCTGGATATCTCAAAGCTTTCCTATAAGTCTCGCATTCTTCGTCTTTCCAGAGGCCCCATTATTCCGTGAACGGATCAAATCCCTACAACGCCGAATCAGTCTATCTCAGTCACTAGGCCCACTATCCCACTGAAAAGATATTGGCAGATCACACTTGTGCAGAGCGAGGGTCTATCAAAGACCACGGAAGCGAATTCTTCAGAGAAACAATACCTATTTGATCGACAGGCTGACGTCTAGAAGTTCTGGGCTCCGAGATCCTCATGCAATTGCACCAAGACCGACGGATGCGTGGCCTTGAAACCCAGCCTGGCGGCACGATCTCCCTTCACCAGCATGTTCGACGCTATCAGCGCGCCGATCTCCCCTGCCCCAGCATCAGCGGAGGGCACGGCTTTGGGATCTGGCGAAGCCACGACACCCTTGGCATGCAGGACCTTGGCCAATTCAGAACTCAAGTCCTTCCAGGCGACCCTCTCGCCATGGAGGATATAGTACCTGGAGTAGGCGCTACCCGCGGGCTTCTGCGTGCCAGCGATCCCGACGATCTTCGTGAGGAAAGGAACGCCATCCCCGACATGGATCAAACTAGCCACGGCCGAACCATCACCGACATATGGGACGTATCCTTGCTTCTTTGCGTTCGAAGTCAACAGATTGTAGGCCACCCCTAGGTTTGGCGCAGGCCCAATATTGGGGCCGTAGGTCATGGCAAAGCACACAATGTAGGTGATGATCTTTCCGCGTTCTCCTGCCTCGAGCACCCTGGTCCAGATCAGTACTTGGGGAGACCAATAGATAGGGCTCCGGAAACGGCTTACGGGACGTCTGTGGGACCGTTGAACATGCTCGGAACAATCTTTCGGATGTCGTCTTCGTTGTCGTCCTACGTGTCATGTCAGAATCAGGTTCAGTCCCAGGTGGTCACTGGAGACCGCGACGAACATTCCAAACTTTGCCGCCGGGATTGAAACTTCCGGTCGTGCCATGATCGATAAAATTGCCCGTGCCGGAGATATGGACCAAGGTGCCCTTGGATTGCTCGGGTCTCTCTTCCATGCCTGTGATGATGTTCTTGACAAAGTCGCCGTCGAAGGAAGTAATGGCGTTGATGACGATGTCATGTTCTTTGCTCAGAGACCGCACCAGCTCGGTGTCGGAGATTGTCCCATGGACGATTCGATCAACATTGGCGGTGGTTTTGAACCACTCATCGACATTGGAGTTGCGCACGAATACTGTCAGCGGCCATCCAGGGAGTGTCTTCTTGAGATCAATGGCCAAACGAGCTGGATTCCGGTTAGCATTGGTCTTTGGAGCCTGTGGCCTTGACTCACATCCAATGAGGCCGGTAGCCCCGAAAAGAAGTACGGAGGGCATGTTGTGAATCGACCAGTTCTAGGTAGTCTTGATCAGGTGAAATCTTTCCTTTTGCAAGTGATTGCTTTTGACAGAGCCTCCTTGACACCGTCTTGTGCGTGCAGAACCCCATAATATACCCACTGGACAACAAGAACCGTCATGGTCGAGTTGGCGCACATCGAGTCGACAGCGACGAAAGGTTGGTAATTCATCCGTTGTCACTCTGAATAATCCGCAGTCCGTCATAGAAGGCTTGTCCCTATGCTTGAGTTTTTTCAAGAAGATGGGTGCTCCGACGAGGCTCATGAAGTTTCTCCTAACCGAGCGAGCGACCCAATGGAGGCTGAGGCTGCGGGCCGTGATCAGGTAATCGTTCTGGAGAGCATCTGGTGGCGCCGCAGACGAGATCGTTTTGAGAAAATGCTCGAGGGATCGGATTGGCTTTCGCTGTTCGTCCTGCCCCGTCGGGATCCTCCAGACGAAACCTTGACTGCCTCCACCATCAGTCATCAGTCAGCGGTCTATCAGGGCGGCGGAGCGTGGGAATAAGAGCAAACTGCGAGGCTCCGGTCTGGGTGTAGATGCTCTGTAATGCAAGGGGATGCGATGCATTGACAATGACCGCATCCACAAACAAAGTTCTGCTGAGAAGAAGCGGGGTTCGTATTCGATTCCAAGACTCACACACTGGGATTCAGATATTAAAAGGGACATTTCACACGGTCTGTGTTCGTCTTGTTTGCTTCACTATTGACACACCAGCCCTCTACTTTCAGAAATTCCTTGTGACAGATTCTATCTCGTTAGACCTGACTGACACGCTATGGAACAACAATACCTCAAGGGCAAGACTGCCATCGTCACAGGTGCAGGCAAGCCGAATGGAATTGGGGCGGCGTCTGCAATTGCGCTCGCTGAACACGGTGCCAATGTATGCTTGTCGATATCGTTCTGAACACAGCCTGCGCTGACACTGCAAACTCAGGTCTTGATCCACTACAACAGCTCGGCCGGACCAGCAGAGGAAGTCGTGGCCAAAATCAAGAGTCTGGGCGTTCAGTCTGCCGCAGTCAAAGCCGATGCGTCGAGCGCCGACTTTGGCAGCACTCTGGTCAACGCTGCCCTGAAGGAGTTCAACACCAAAACCATCGACATCATCGTCAACAATGCTGGCTTCGCCACGCCGAACATCCAGGGCATCGCATCTGTAGGATTCGACGAGTGGGACCCAGTGTTCCGTATCAATGTTCGAGGCCCATTCGTCCTCATTCAGGCAGCGCTGCCGTACATGACGACTGGCGGACGCATCATCAACATTGGAAGCATCATTTCACGACTTGGTTCATGGATGCTGCCCGTCTACTGTGCGTCCAAAGGGGCTCTGACCTCGATGACCGTGGCTATTTCAGAAGAGTTGGGGCCCAAGGGTATCACGGCCAATGTGGTGTCTCCCGGCCCGACTGCCACTGATCTGTCCATGGAAGGCACTCCGATTGGTGCGAGGCTGAGGAACAATCAGCACATCAAGAGAGAGGGCACACCCAAAGAGATCGCGGAAACGGTCCTGTTCATGGCGAGCCCAGCGGCCTCGTATATCACCGGCCAGGTTATCCATGTGGATGGAGGGACTGCATTCCCATAAAGACAACAATTGAATGGCTTCGGTCCGTGGACTCCCGAATTCCAAAGAGGACGATATCCGTAGATACCCTTGCAGCATCATAGGGAGTCTTTCGCTGAATCCTCGGACACTGCTTGATAGCTGAGGCAAATGGAAAAGCACTGGATAGTCTAGAAACCTTTGACTCTTACCTTCGGGCCGAACTGAGCGCCAACAAAACACCGTGTGAAGTAGAGGCATGGATCTGACAGTGACACCAAACGAGGTGTCTGTAAGACACAAACATCGCTTACCACACCAAGTAGGACAGAGAAAACTCCCCGCAACAACTCCGTCTATACACACAACCATCCGTGAATAAGCGCATGGATCGCAGAATTCCCACTTTCCCCCATAGCCTCGGCCGTAACATCTTCTCTCAGCCTCCTGACATGGACAACTCCCGTGCACGCCCTTGCCCTTGCCGTAGACTCCCTCACAGTTCAACTATTGTGATCGTCATCATTTAGCGAGAGTATAAATTCCCCCAACGATACTCCATATTCCATATATGTTGTTGACTGCTCTGGTTCTTCTCACATCAGCCTGCAACTGACTTCACCACCACCACCATGTCTGTGCCTACTATATGCATGGGCCAGTACCTCTTTCAGAGAATCAAGCAACTCGGCACAGAACATATCCTAGGCGTCCCAGGGGATTTTAACCGTCAGTGCCAATTCTCCCCTGGCTAACATTTGTGCAAGAATGTCACTCTGATTCGGTGTCGCCGCAGTCACTCTTCTCGATGAAATCTACAACGTCTCGGGGTTGAAATGGATTGGCTGCTGCAACGAACTCAATGGCGCGTATGCTGCTGATGGCTACACTAGGATCAAAGGTTCGCCGGCTGTTCTGGTCACGACATACGCCGTAGGGGAGCTATCTGCGATGAATGGGGTGGCTGGAGCGTAAGTTTGATCTTTGGCCATGACGGGGCTGTGTCGTCCGCCAGACACTACATCTTGACAAATACTGACACATGCTGTGACGGGGCAAATAGCTACGCAGAGCATGCAGGCATGATTCACATCGTGGGAATGCCGGCACGATCGCTGCAAAAGGCCCGAGCAATGCTGCATCACACCATGAAAGCCAACATGGATCACGCAACCTACATTCATATGGCAGCACCTATCAGGGAGACACATGCCTATCTGATGGATGACAAGACGATGGCTGCGGAGATTGACCGAACCATTGTCGCCTGCGTACGGAGTCGACTTCCGGTCTATATCTACGTCCCTGTCGATGCCGTGGCGGTGCAACTGGACGCAAAGCGACTGGACACGCCGCTGGACCTGACTGTACAAAACAAAGACGGCAAGATTGAAGATCAGATTGTCAGCGATGTTCTCTCTCTGATCAAGGAAGCCTCGAACCCAGTGATTTTGGCCGATGTGCTCACTGTCCGCCACGGCGGTCGGGAATTGACCAGAGAGCTTGCCAAGCTCACCCAGTTTCCCTGTTACTCTACACCATTGTCCAAAGGAGTCATCGACGAAACTCTCCCTTACTACCGTGGACTGTACAATGGCAAAGGTTAGTAGCCTGTAGGTGGCTCCTTCATATCCACTGACCTATGGTTAGTGTCCTTTCCCGGGGTGGCTGAGGGTATCGAGGCCTCCGATCTCGTCCTAAATCTTGGGCCACTTCTCTCGGATTCCAACACCGGGGGTTTCACACGGGAAATCAAGGACGAGCATCTTGTGCTCCTTGGACACGACTCTTGCCAGGTCAAAAACCAGAACTTTGATGGCGTTCATTTTCTGCCGATCCTGAAAAAGATCGTCTCAGAGCTGAAGGCAAGCCCTCAGAAATATGACCTTCCACGCCCCACCAAAGCCCCGAGAATCGAGACACCCATACTGAATGACTTGAAGTCCGGAGAGATAAAACAATCGTACGTCTGGCAACGACTCGGTCGGTTCTTGAGAAGCGACGATATTCTTTTGGTAGAGTCTGGGACAGCTCAATTCGGGATGCCAGATGCCACTTTCCCACCCAATATCAAGTATATCACGCAGACTTTCTGGTCATCGATCGGATTCACGGTCGGTGCCTGCCTTGGCGCCATGGTCGCGGTAAAGGAGCTCAATGCTCCCGGACGTATTGTCTTGATCGTCGGCGAGGGAAGTCTCCAGATGACGGTGCAAGAGATAGGCTCCTACATCCGTTACGGCTTCAAACCCATCATCTTTGTCATCAACAACAACGGATATGCCATTGAGAGAGCAATCCACGGACCAAAGCAGGGTTACAACGACGTGAGCATGATGTGGGACTACCAGAAGATGCTTGATTTCTTCGGAGCAAGAGAGGATAATGGTGTCAAGGCAAAGAGTCACGCTACAAAGACAGTCGAAGAGCTTGAGGCAGTCTTGAACGACGATGATTTCGCAAGTGGGAACAGTATTCAGGTATGTCTTGCCCCTGGACGTTGCTGGCATGTTTTCGGACTAATGACTCTCTAGCTGTGTGAGATATTCATGGACACATTTGATTATCCGTGGAGATTGACAGAGCAAATTGCCATTTCTAGAGCGCGGATGAAGCGCGAGGCAGAGAAGCTGAGTGCGACATCCTGATACTCCACGCGGAAAGGGGCTAGATGGCTATTGTAACAAATGATCACTTCTCCAGCCTAGCAAGTGAAAGTGGCGCAATGAGCCCCTAACTAGGTTGTGCACGACTGTGCACGACTGTCCTAGTATGCATACATAGTTCATGAGCATCCTGCCACGAGGCTGAGCTCCCCCTTGCAAGGCTGAGGCTTCATGGGGAAGCAACGGCGAGTCTAAACTGTAGCAGGTCTTGGCAGCCATGACCTCATTCGCTGCGCTTCGACAAGAGCGACCTGACATCCTGCGGTGGGATAGCGCGACAACATTGTTCACCGACCCTTAACCTTTTGCCAATTCTCCCCATATATACCTGCTTTCTCACAATCATTTGTCACGCTCGACATTTATTTGACGCCCTTCGACAATGGAAGAGATCGCCCCAGAATACGATGTTATCGTCCTAGGCACAGGTAATGACCTTCGCCCATCCCTCCGACCCCGCCTTTTTGTTGACTCGTCCTGTTTTAGGCTTGACAGAATGCGTGCTCTCTGGGTGAGAATCAGCGCAGCCATACGTGTGAAGCATTCTCCGCTAATTAGATCACAGCGTCCTTTCCGTCAAGGGCAAGAAAGTCCTCCACATCGATCGTAACGACCATTACGGCGGGTACGCGAATCGCAGTCCTGAATAGAATGATAGGGGAATTCCAACTGACCGGGAGTACACAGTGAGGCTGCGTCTATCAACATTGAAGCTGTGAGCAAGAACAACACACCCATGAGAGGGACAACCTGGCCTGACCTTTCATCTATCTAGCTCTTCAAGAGATACGGAACCCATAAACCGGGCGAAGAGCCGTGGAAGAAATACGGCCGCACCAACGACTGGAACATTGACCTAGTTCCCAAGCTCTTGATGGCAAATGGCGAACTCACAAACATCCTCGTCTCTACCGATGTCACCCGATACCTCGAATTCAAACAGATCGCAGGGAGCTTTGTACAGCAAGGCTCAGGTCCGCGCGCAACAGTGGCGAAAGTCCCATCCACCGCTGCAGAGGCATTAAGTTCACCTCTGATGGGCCTATTCGAGAAGAGAAGGGCAAAGAAATTTCTGGAGTGGGTGGGTGCATTTGAGGAGAACAACCCGGCAACACACAATGGTGGGCATTAAAGTATCATGGAATCATATCGGACGGGAGCTGATCATTTGCCGCAGGAATGAATATGAATCAATGCACCATGAAAGAGGTTTATGACAAGTTCGGACTGGAACCCTCTACGCGAGATTTTATTGGTCACTCTATGGCACTTTACTCGACTGACGAGTACATCAACGCACCTGGCATGGCTAAGGAGACGGTTGAGAGAATCCGCCTGTACGCCAACTCGATGGCTCGTTACGGCAAATCACCCTACATTTACCCGCTATACGGCTTAGGGGAGCTCCCACAAGGCTTTGCCCGTCTCTCCGCTATCTACGGGGGTACGTACATGCTCAACACCTCGGTGGACGAGTTTCTCTACGACGGCAACAAAGTCGCCGGTATCAAAGCAACTATGCGAGAACGAGGCGAAGAGAACGAAGAAGGCATGAAATTCACCACAAAGACCAAGATGATCCTCGGTGACCCCTCCTATTTCCCCGGCAAAGTTCAAGTGGTCGGTCACCTCCTCAAGGCCATCTGTATCTTGAACCACCCGCTTGAGAAGACCGGGGATGCCGACTCCTTGCAACTCATCATTCCCCAATCTCAGGTTGGTCGAAAACATGACATCTACATTGCCATGGTATCCTCGGCCCACAACGTGTGTCCCAAAGGATACTACATTGCTATCGTCTCCACCATCGCCGAAACCTCTGCGAACCACCACCTTGAGCTGCAGCCGGGACTCGAGAGACTTGGCCGCATTGAAGAGAAATTCATGGGGCCGCCGATCCCCCTATACCAACCATTGGAAAGTGGCGTGAACGACCAGATCTTCATCAGCAACAGCTTTGACGCATCGAGCCACTTTGAGACAGTCACGGAGAATGTCAGAGATATCTATCAGAGGGCAATGGGAGAGGAATTGAAAGTGGAAGGGTTGAGGGAGGGCCAGACTCTGGCTGAGGAGTAAGAGCAAGCAAACATGGAATGGAGTATTTAGTTTTCGGAAATCAAGCAAAGGCCTGAGGATACGGGATTAACTTGATACATATGCATGATGGCCAGCAAGCGCATGGACGGCTTCGGCAGATGGTTGTAGATGACCAGGATAGTACGACGACTGCAAAATCCGCCCCCATGCTGCCCCAGGCGTCTTGGGAGTTAACGGCTGCCCTCGATATACAACAAGTACAAGGTGATGCAGCCTAGAACGAACTTTTTGTTCCGTGTCTCCAAAGCACAGATTCAGTTGCGCGGGATAAATAGATAAATTGGCTACGGTCCGATCGGACTTGGGAAAGCATTGCCACGCCGCCCACATCCAGTTGTAACTTGTAAGTAATGGTCTTAGCTGAGTTGACGCACAAGGCCGCCGTTTTGCGTGAGCAGTGGGCACCGCGAGTCCCCTTCGCCCTCAGGGGAGAATGATGGATGAACAATCGGACAAGGGGCGACGGGAAGGCCAAGTCAAGTTGTCACAGCAAAGGGCTCGAGCAGGGCTGTGCTAGCAAAGGTGAAAAAAAAAAGAACATGGTAACTAAGTAAAGTATCCGTTCTTGGTTTTATTTTTTGCTCCGAATATTCTAGGACTACCGGCACATGCTCGCTCGTAGGCGGTATAGGAACAGACGCTGAGATTGCTAATTGCTTTGTGAAGGCTCTGCTTGAAAAATACCCAGACCGTGCATCCAACAGCCCCTGAATTGGCTGCCACGCTCCCTGACCACGCGCCAATACTTGGTGTGCCGCGGACACAGTGGACTGTTGGGCAGATGCTCGGGGATGGTCAGGTCGAACTCGGCGGCATCGCGCTGGTTCTTGCGGATCTTGTAAAGGCACTGAGGCGAGTTGACTCTCTTTTCGCCTTGTTTAGCGTGGTTCATCTCGCCTTTGTCCGCCTGGATGTTCATGTCAACTTCTGCCAGCTTCACGTCGTACCAATCCCCGGCCAGGATCCGCTTGTTCTTGCTCTTGATCCTCCCTGGCTTCTTACCGGCCGGCGTGGCTCGACTGTGACCCGAGAATCCACTGCTGTCCTGATTGGTGCTTCCGCTGTCAACTGCACCTTCGGGGGTTTCTGTCCCTCGTAGACACACAGACCGCCCCGGCGCATTGTAGTCGAAGAAAAACCCCTTCAGTCGGCCATCCAATCCTGCCTCTGGAAGTGGCGGCGTGTGTATTCGACGAGCTTCACTTGGGAGATAGCTCGTACCTCCTCTAATACTGATATCGACCCTGAAGTATTCCTCGGTTTCTGCACTAGGGCTCCTTTTAATTTTGTATGTGGCCGTCTCATCTGGGGTGTTCATAGGCACGTTGCCCATACGCAAATTTATCTGGCTAGAGGTATATGATTGAAGCCCAGAGAGCAATTCACCACTGCCTTTGTGATTGTCGTTGATCTCCGATATAATTCCCTGCATGGTTCGTGGTTCCTTTTTCTTTTGATGCGAGGGCGACTTATTCGAGGACGTTCTCCATCTCAAGGGCTTTATTACCTGAGGCGGCCATAGCGAACTCGGTGGTGCGAGCTTTATCTCCTGCAAGATCCCCGTCACAAGTTCGAGTGCTTCCAACGTATAGTTTCTCTTGATCTGGCTAGTGTGGTCTGCCATCCGTCGATCCCGACCTACCGGAGTAGACTGAGGGGCTTCAGTTTTCGTTGTGGTCCTCGATTGTTTGAGTGGACTCGCCTGGCGGATGTATTTGAGCGGGGTCGCTAGAACCACCTTGGGGGTCATAGAACTCCTCCGGGACGAAGTCTGACTCTGCTGTTCCGAAGAGTGAGAGTGCGTTTCCCGTTGTGGGCTGTGACTCGAGCTGCGGTGCTCCGGGAACTCTGTTTCCACCTTTATAGAACTCGGCGTGGGCATCTCGGTAGTGGGAAAACTCCTTGATGGCGGCGTTAAAGGGGTTTGGTCTGTTCGGACAACAATGATATCCCTAACACTCGTCTGCGCCTCTGACGCAGTCGAAGAAAGTCGTCGCACAGATCCAGCCGAGGCTTCTCTTCCCTCAAGGCCAACGTCCCAAGAAGGAGACGTCGCCAGAATACGCCTCAGCTTTGGGCGATGTCGGAGATATGAATGTTTCTCTTTTGACGGACGTGAACCCCAGGGATGCGAAGTCTCTACGGACGGTGCAGAGGTACATGGCGAGGAAGGGAGAGAAGAAGCGTCTAGAGATTGGTCAGCTCCTGGTTTTGGAGACAGTGTCACTTCAAACCGAGGAGAGTGCGTCAACGGTGGGCGGGTCTCTTTTGGCTGTGTGGTTGTGTAGCACTTTTGCAGAGCATCAAAGTCTGAATAGAACCTGAAATACGGACGCCGTGTCGCGGTGGCGGGCGAATGTCGCCGAAGCTGCGTCCCAGAACTGATGTTGGCGGTGGAGTTGCCATGAGACAAGCCGGAGATGTCGAAATAGGAGGTGATGTCTTTCCTGAAGGGAGCTGCTGCGTCTTGATCCTTGCTTGTGCCTGAGACTCGATGGTAGAATTCTCCCTCGCTGGGGTGTGAGTTGGATTGGCCATGATCAAGGAGTCGATGGAGGGGAGACATAGGGCAATGATGAGGTCTCTGCGATTGAGAGGAGAGAGCTGGATACTGATTCTAGGACATGCAGCAAAATAGGGTAAAGATAGAGATATTAAAGAGAGGTAAATGTCGGATTGAGATGGACTCCCATGATGCGAAGAGACGGAGGTGGCATTGAAGCAAGAACCACCACGAACCTCCACCCACATCCACGTTCTCGATGGAGAGGCAAGAGCGGCCACCAGTCTCTCGCAATGTGATATGTCAACACCTAGTTGTCCTCCAGCGCCATCTTCTGGATGTCTTCTTCGACCGAAAGCAAGCCCAGCGCCCAATGCACACGGGTCGAGCTGGACCGATCAATGAGGCTGCGATCGTGGTTCACGAATTCCGACTCATGCTGTTCGACGGCGGCATCTGAAGGTCCTCCACTTGATGGAGATGACTTTGCCGATGTCTTGCTCATGCGGATGTCCTCGTCGTGAGCAGCCAGAGTTCGCTCGTAGGGAGGGCCTCGTCCTGCTTGCGCCATTCGTTCCCAGGCAGTCTCGCAAGCGCCAGCGATGGCGCCTGATGTACGCCATCCACATCTGCGTTCGACGTCTTTAAGTTTGCTTATTGTCCACCCTCGCTGCACAGCGTCTGTATACTGGATGGCTGCAAACAACAGGAAGAAGGTACTCTCCATGAGGTAGCCTGCGAAACTTGGGTCCAGGGCTCCGCTCTGGCCATAGAGCTGTCTTGAGTACAGCCCTGCGCAGATCTGGCCGACCATCTGCGTATACTCCCGAGTGAGGTGCGCCGTGACGCCAGCAGCAACCACTGCTGCAGGCGGCATCTCGGGGTGAAGGCGCTGCCATAAGATGCGCCCAACGTAGTAGCATGCCCATATACACGCCACTGCGCCATTTTTGTAGATGAGTGCTGGTCCAAAAGGCGTACCGACCGGGGGCCCGGTTTGTTTGAGAGGCTCAAAGTCTGTGCCCAGGTTTTCTGCGAAGGTATCAAAGGCTTTGCCTATCTCGTTATACTCTGCAAATGCCTTGGCTGTATCGTCCTCGAGATTGCTAGGCGGCGTGCTCTCCTTCCGCTCTCTTTTGAACGCAAACGCCGAGTCTTTGATGTTGGCGTCCATAGACCGAAAAGCAGAATCCAGCTGCAGTGGCTCGGTCGCAGGCGGGAGCATCCCAAGCATAGGAGGACCAGCCCCCGGTCCAGGACCAGAACCACCCGGTAAGCCGGGTTTACTCTGCCTCACCCTCCCTTCGTTGGCGCTGGGGGCAGGGGAAGGTCTTGCTCCCGCCTGGGCCGGAGCACCGGTCAGCTTGGTGGCTGCAGAAGCCTTCTCAGGAGGTGATTCCGAAGCCTGCTTTGGATGAGCAGGACCGTCCTTCCGTCCCGATGGACCAGGTTGTCCTTGAGGTCCAAACAGCCATTTCGGGGGCCTCCATTGCCCTCCCTGCATAGCCACCACCCGTTGCTTGCGCAGACGATCTTTGCCTCCGAAATCAGTTAGGCGTGCCATGACCAGTAGCAAGTGATCCAGGGTCGCATATGGATTGTCCGCCCGTCCAATTTGACCTCTAGGGGGACAGTAGATCCATTCCTGGTAGGCCATAAGCGGCCGGTCGCCGGATACCATGCTCTGGAAAACGTCTTGCTTGCAGTACCACCACCTCAAGTCCAGTTTGGCCTTGAAATCTTCAACATCTTTCTCGCTCAGGTCCGGCATGGCAGGCCGCGAGCCGAAGCTTGGCTGGAATTGTTGGTCATAGTTCACGCGGAGGCCTGTCAGTCGGGAAACGAGTGTCTGATCGACCTCCCAGTCAGCGTCGTCAAGCAGGGTAAGAGGAATACCAGCTACACGCGCATAGTTTTCGTCGGTCAACGCAAATTGAACAGTCCACTGGTTGATTCGTGCCTTTGCACCAGTTCGCATGCGTCTCGTCGTTCGGGTCAAGCCGGCAAAGTCATGCTCCTGTAGGAGCCTCGTAGCTCCTGACAAATGAAGGTTCCACCGTGAATGGTCGCCAGAGACGACCTCGTAGTATCCAAGGAGCAGGACTGTAGCCAGAGTTGCTATTTCGTGCCGCCGTTTCGGTAACCCCAGCAGTCTCCCAACCCTTCGCACTGCACAGGTGAAATGCTTGATCGCGAGGTTTTCTGACGAGTTATTCAGCTTCGCAAGATGAAGGGCCCCCAATGCCAGAATCGCATGCGCAAGTGCGGTATGCGACAACGCCAGAGCCGGCATTGTGAAATTCCAGAGAGTTCTCGCAGGGGCCGCAATAGGGCTGTAGTGATGTCTCTCGAAGATTGATATAGTGTTGCTCGTAATTTCAACAAAATGGCAAAATATATGCTCGTTTCTCTCATCGTGAAGAGGGGATTGTGTTATAATCGGCCGGTACGTCGCGACGGTTCGATACTCAGTCCTCCTGGGAATGTACAATTTCGAAGCCTGTACATCGACCTGCCCAGCACGACCGAGCATCTCTGTGAGATTGTTTGCCGCTTCTTGATATGAGAGGTTTGAATCTTCCATTTCAACGTCGAATGGGTCGTCATCGTCGTCGTCCTCGTCGTCATTCATCTGAGATGTAGGACGCCGAAGCGCAGAAGGACCATGGGATGCGGTATTTATGAATCCCGGCTGATGTGTACTACCATGCGCACTGTATTGCCTAGCCACATGTTCTGCGAAGAGCTTAGCACTGAGTATAAAAGAGCTTGATGGATGACAATTGTATTGGCCTACATACCCTCTATAGGTAGGGGTGATACGTCGTACTGGTAAGACAGTGGAGCACGCCGCTGTTGGAATTGAGACAGAATCGGCTGCTGTGAGGCCATAATATGGTTGCTGGTGAGTGTTGACTGCGGTGACTGAAGTTGAGCCAAAGCAGGATTGAAACCCCATGTCGCCGGCTGATCCATCAATCGGGGGTCGAGAGGGAAGACGGTCGTCGAAGTCCTTCCAGCCTGGTTGTCCGGAAAGGTGAACCCTGGTACAGTTTCTCTTGAGGTTTCCGCCATTCCATGATAAGGCAGGTTTGGTGGATGCTGCGTACCCTGCCATCCATATTCCGGACCTATGACCGGAATACCCGAGTGATTAGAGAGGTTGGTCGGAGGGAATGGAATCGCATGGTAGCTGGCGCTGAATGGTAGTTGATTATAGGGCGAGGGATTCGTTTGACCAAAGTCATGTGGCATTTCCAGGTATTCCGGTCCTGGTTGCCAACGTTGGTTGAATGCAGTTGAGACATCGTGATCTTGAAACGACAGATGGGCGCCAGTTTCTTGGGATATATCGGTTTGTCCCAGGATCTGCTCTTTGTTCGCCACAGGTTGATATCCTGCACATTCGCGCTTCGATTTGATACAGTTCTTGCATACCTAAATCCGTAGTCAGGATACGTCGATGAGTGCATGGAAGACGAGGACGAGGCTTACAGGCTTCTCTTCTCCACATTTTATTCTGAAAATGTATGTTAGCTTGTATCGACCATGAAAGGACAATGACCATAGTCTCGAGGATAGAGATATTAGGGACCGAGCTTACCGTCTTTTACGGCATGCTTTTTGAAGAGACGGATATCAGTATGAGTGCTTCGCAGGTGGTGTCCGAAGACGAGGTCAAACTCACTGAGACACCCAGTCTTGGTCCGTTTCTTAGTTGGCTGCTTCGGCGTGGCGTCGACTATTGCTGCATCCTCCTCCTCCTCTGGCCCACTGCCAGATCTCTTGACATTAAAGACTTCCTCTTCTTCCGGCGTAGGAGACATTGAAGTTCTAATCGTCAGGCATCAGGACGATTCTGTTGATATGTCAGGTATTGAGGACAATTTGGAGCTTGCGAATTGCAAAGTGGCCAGCAACGGGCTGATAACAAAACAATGGCTGGACCGCACATTGGGAACAAAACAGTTTAGAGTGGGAGGGAAGTTCCGAGAAGCCAGGATATGCACTGCGGAGAACTGCTCGCCGCTGAGCTATTGGTACTGGTATCAGGTGTGGGCAACAAGTCTGCTGTTCCATACCCTTTGCGATAGCGCACACTTTTCCCTTGAAAGAAGGAAGCCGGTTTCATTGCATTCTGCTAGACCCGATTGCGGTGAGGGAAGGAAAGAAGACACGCCGGGGACGTGGAATATCATTCCTAGACGCACTGGGAACCTGCCGAGGACCGATGTCTCCACTGAGGCACGGTGGTCGACTTTCCGGGCACCCACAACATGAGGAGGTTGTGATACTGACAATCGGTGCAAGCGCATATGCAGAGTGACGACGAGCGGCTCAGATGATTGGCGGGTTCGTGAAGAACGACAGAAGGTCCGCCATGTGGTACGGCAGACAATAGGGGAAAGGCACCCTTGCAGTACGTACAAATAGTAACAGTCCCGAGAGAGGTATGGTGGTCCAAATCAGCCGGGCATGTTGTGAACAACCGGCAAGGGGGTCTTCTGGTACCTCACAGGAGGCCAGGACAAGGATGCAGGGTACCAGGGAGGGCAAGACAAGGTGGCGGCTTGCAGAAGCAAAGTCATAGGGTCGGTACTGACCAGTAAGCGTTGTACAGGAGAGAAAAAAAGTCAGGATGGAGAAGCATAGGGCTGATTTGTGACGAAAAAGCCGTGCTAATGAAGCTTTGTACTCGATGGGAAAAGTCCTTAGCAGCACTTTCGTTTCCGTAAAGGAAAAACTTGTGGCGGAGAATTGGAGGACATTGTTGGATCGACACGGCCGGGTAGAGTCTCCCTCCATTCCTAGTTCGGGGTGAGCTTTCTTCAAGGACCCAAGCTGCAGCCACCAGCAGCTAAACCGGCTGGCACCACCAAAATGTCTCTTTGCTGCTACTTGTATAAGCTCCCCACCGAGATATGATGATAGCCAACCACCCTTGAACCACCTTGTATCGGTGAAAGTACCTGTATTTTTCATCTGGTCCCCGTCGTGAATGGAAGTTGATCTTCTAGCTCTGATGGGCGTCTTGGTACTTGCTCAGTGGCCAAACCCGTCCATGGTTACCCTCGAGTGTTACAATGTTGCGAGTCAGGTCACATTGATGAACTGTCGGTCGTGGAGAATCGACTGGAAGATGGATCGATGGATCGATGGATCGACGAGTTGGCGGTTCAACCCCAGTGGTTTCCGCCTAGACGGGGCATCAAGGGGAAAGACCATGTTCGTTCCGCGCAATTCTCTGAAGGGTAGTAGGGTAGACAAGCCCACGCTAGCCACACGACCTTCGAGGCTCCCTCAACGTGCGTTGCTCTTCTGCCCCACTAGAGTGCACTCCGTAGTTCCTCGCAGGATGGCGGTTTGGGAGATTCGTTTCAGGGATGGGAGGTTGATGAGCCTGCCACAGACAGCCTATGGCATATCTTCACCTGTCGATCTTCAACCACATGCTCACACGTGGTGCGCACAAAACATCACTAAGCCAGGAATTATTAAATCGGAGTTGAGACAAGGGCCGTTTCCGGCCGATCTGCTGCCTGATGCAGGATTGATGGCGTTTTTCGACCGTCCAAAGGTGCCAGGTCAAGTCGCCGCCCTGCAGTGAAAGGGCCAGGTTCAAAACCGGCGCAAAACTTGAGTTCGACGGTTGGTGGTGGAGCTGCAGGCAGGGTGTATCAAGAGGGGTTTTCTTTGGTAGGTAGAATGGCACAACAACTACTGGATATCAGCCACTCGTATCTAGAGAGCGCCCGGTGGGGTGATCAGGGTGAGGGAGTTGAACCATTGGTGGGCCTCGAGAGCTATAGTCTGAAAGGGGTTAACCCATCTATGCACAATCCGTATGGCTGCTATGTCTTTGGCTGTTGTCGGGGCAGAAAGGGATCGTTCGTAGGCCGACAAGGCTTGTTGTGAGGAGGTATAGCGCCATGCGGTCAGAAAGGGGGGGGGAGGTTCCGGGACTTCTGCCTAGACCCTTGTTTTGTGAGCCTGGAAAGTCCTGCCGAGATCGCAATCCGATTGCAGGTGTAGCGAGCAGGTAAAGCGAACGTTAAGCGGACGAAGAAGAAAACAGTTGTTCATCGATGGAGAGGAGACGCACGAGGAACGGGCAAAGGAAGAAGGGAATTGTCGCCCTCCTCATTAGGGCTTCAGTGGGCATCATCGAGATATGCTCTTGGCGTGATGCAAGAGTCTCATGAGACCTGCAGCGCGGGGGTGATGGAGCCTCTGCAGGTGGTGTCCTGGTGTCCTGCATCCTATCCAGAGGTACCTAAGTGAGAACCTACCTGGGCACGCCCACACACGAAATCGTCACTTAAACCAACACCTCCATCCCTATAGTACCTAGTTAGGTAGGTACGGTTCACCCCTGTAAAGACCCTTTTACTGAGCCTTACCGAGCACCTACAAGCAATGCACCCCTGCGGTCACCCCAATCATGGCTCCTCGGGGATCGGTTACACTTGCTTCTCACGCTGCGGCGTGAGGTTCGGTAAATAGTCGCACATATGATGCCTCCCAACTGAGATATAGGCGCAGGTCAGATGCTGGGCGAGTTTTCGTGATATTTGTGTACACGCGTGCTTGCCAAGCGCTGGCACGTTGGACTGCAGGGTCTTTATATTGTCCTGTATAGTAGCTACTGTGATTATTTGTAACCTATTCTCCTGGAGCATACCAAGTGGTTGTTTTCTAATGTGTAATTGAGCACGTCTTTGAGCTCCCCTATGCTCTGTGCCGTGAGGGGTAGGAGCCTAATCCGGCTCCATGCTCCTGACTATTGCCTATGCACGAGCATGTCTGCAATTTGTGCAGAAGATGGCTTGTAAGGTATCGTAATGCCCAAAAGAGTCGATGAAGTGCTCTTCGTAAGTGGCCGTTGGGCTGTAGGATCAACTAATGACCAAGCCAATAACAACATCTCCAATGGGGCCTGCTGCCCCGCCCCCAAATCTGCAACTGCGGCTCTGACCAGGCACTTGCCGGTGGGTACAGGCCGTGGCAGAGTGGCTACCGGGGCTGCGGGAACGTACCACACACACACCAGACTACAACCAAGTACCCTAATAAATTTTTGTGGTGGCATGCAGAGTTCAGCACATTATTTGGCAAACACCCCGTCAATTGCACTGCGCCAAAATTACCGTGACACTGGCTTGAAATCCATCTGAGACCTGCAGCATGCCTAACCGTCGCCTCGACATAATCCCCTCCTCATAATCCCTGCCTCGCCGTTCTCCTACGTATCATGTTCGCGGTTCCGGGTTGGGCAGTTGACTCGACTTCCCTCGTCCAGGAAAAACTCGCTTCAACCAGTGACGCCCATCTATCTCCCTCGGTTTCCACTTCAGCCTCCAAAAAGAGAAAGAACGCATTCCCCGATCATCATGAGGCCTCCAAAGTCTCGGGGACTGAGCTCGAGAAACTATGGAACCAGCGTGCAGGGGCCAAACCTGCCAGCAAAACGCAGGGGGAACTTCAGAGACATGGTCACCAAACTGCTGAACGACACAAGGTTGGCGCAGAGACCATCCCAGTGACAGATACGAAGCGGCGCGGGAAGAAGAATAAGGACAATATACGCCCGACGGTCAATGGCCAACAGCAGCCTGTGCAGCCGGGTCGAGTGCAAAAAGCGGAGGATGACGGCAGAAGGGACGGTGATGGCGAGGCGGAAGTGTCGTCTTCGAGGTCCATCCCACGCGATAGCATACGCAAAGTTCTTCCGCCTGCACCGCCAATACCTGCGAGACTGACTCCTCTGCAAGCCAAAATGCGCAACAAACTCACATCAGCCCGCTTCCGACACCTGAACGAGACCTTGTATACCACCACCTCCTCAGCCGCAATGACTCTCTTCACGAATTCTCCCGACCTCTTCGCCGAGTACCACGCCGGATTTTCACAGCAAGTGAAAGACTCGTGGCCTGTCAACCCAGTAGACAGGTACATTTCCGCGATCAAAACCAGAGGACAAATATCCACGACAGCACATGAGCCCAATAGGCAGCAGCCTGGCAAGAGCCTCAAGATCTCTCTACAGAGCTCCCCACTCCCTCGTCGCAAGACAGGTTCCTGCACAATCGCCGACCTGGGCTGTGGTGATGCTCCTCTTGCTCGCGGTTGCCAATCCGTTATCAAAGCCCTTAAACTCAAATTTCACAACTTCGATCTCCACACTCCTAACACCTTGGTCACCAAAGCAGATATCTCCTCATTGCCGTTGAGAGATGGTGAGGCGGATATTGCGGTATTCTGCCTCAGCCTCATGGGCACGAATTGGATCAACTTTGTGGAAGAAGCATGGCGAATCCTTCGGGGAGATGGAAGGGGGGAGTGTTGGGTGAGCGAAGTCAAATCCCGCTTTGGAAGGGCGAAAAGACAACCCGGGCAGAGCGTGGAGAATAGTGTAGGAAAGAAGCGAAGGAAACAGAACGCCAAGAAGAAAACCGGCGGTGCGGGCGTGGAAGGTAGTGATGATGAAGTCCAGGGGGAGCTTTTCGTGGAGGACTCTACGGCTACTGAGGCTACTGGAGAGCAAACGGATATATCTGCCTTTGTCAGTGTCATGACCCGCCGTGGATTCCTTTTGCGCGAAGGAAGTGTGGACAAATCGAACAAGATGTTCGTCAGCATGGTGTTCGTCAAATCCGGTGTGCCGACCGCCGGGAAATACAAAGGGCTCAAATGGAATGGTAGAGAGTATCAGAAGATCGAGGACGTCAAGCTAAAGGGACGAGGACGGCCTGGTGCTAGCAGTGTAGCAGCGGCAGATCACGGAGAGGATGATAGTGACATGACGGTTGAGGAAGAGGCCAAAGTTCTTAAGCCCTGTGTCTACAAAACAAGGTGATAGAGATGTGATCGGATCCAAACAATTGAACATTCACCAGATGGAAAGCCGAGGAATGAGGCACGTGAAAAGTCTTGATTCAGTTCAATGCACTAGTGCGGACGCAGAGACTCGTTTGTTGTTTCCAGGTTCTCGAAAAGCTAGAACGATATCGACGAGTGAAGAACATCGTTGTCCCCAGGCCCTTTGCAGGCAGGAGTCTTTCCTACCCACTGTATGAGTGCACCCTTGGATCCTCGCGTGGGTGGGATCCCCTTCGCGGCGCCCACGCCTATCTTCTCCCTCTGAGCAGGACAGGGCTGTTGCCCATCCACCGCACCCACTTTGAGATTCTTTCTGGACAATTCACGCCTGAAAGTGGCAAATTCAATGACTGTTGCGCAGTTCAACCCTTGGGCCAGAATTCCAACATGGCCTTTTGCGTGTCCAGTGAGTGGTTGTCGATCCGGTCCTCGACCTCCTGCCACAGGACCTTAGTGGAGCCAAATTCCGTTTCCCAGTGGTCCATAACGTCGAGCTTGAGGTCGTCGTCGTCGTCGTTGTTGTTCTTGGCATTGGGATGAATACTGTGGTGGACGGCCACGCGGCCACGGTTCCAGATGTACAGCATCGCGAGCACCACCTCGGCGTTGGTCACTTTGACTGCCAACACCGGCTGGGCATTCGATGTCGGTGCGTCGCAGTTGGGCCGTCGACCGAACACGGCCGTTGTGGTTTGTTGCCAGTTCGGGAGGGCGGTCAGGGAGAGGTCGTTGGGCGTCGGGAAGGTGGTACATTGCGAGGCATGTTCCACGGCGTTGAGGTGGGCAACCGTGGCTGTCGAGTGCTGGTGCGCGTTGGGGATGAGAATGCGCGATGTGTCCATCAATGGGCGACTCCAGGTCCGGATCGCTGGGTGATTGGCGATAGCTGGGTCAGAGTTGCTGGTGTGGATATGGGCACATCCCGACGCTAGACACCCAGATATGTTAGGCTCGTATATATAAAGATATAGGGAATGAGGTTGTGTGGTCATACTCTTCGCTGCCTCCGAGAGGTCACACTTAAGTACGCGCGAACATACAGGTATCACTTGTTCGTGAGGGTGAATTTTTCTCGCTTTGTGTCAACAGCACAATGGTCAGTGAATAAAGCTTGCTGTGAATGAACAGAGTGAAACCAAAAGAGGTACATACCCGCAGCACATATCTTCAGCCGCTTGTCCCATCTCGAAGTGTCCCATGCCTTCACGCTCTTTTCGCCCCAGGGCTCGTCGATGAAGACCATGTCACACGGATGGCCCTTGGAGACATCCTGCCGCAGGGCCAGGTGGTAGAAACAGCCTCGCCGTATGCGGCGACATTCCTCATTGAGGGCGAGCAGCACGAGGTATGTCGCATCCAGGGGCTTCTGATTGAAGGTCACAATCGAAGAGCCGTCTCGGGTCTCGACCGGCCGTGGCGAAAGATACGCAGACATGGAGAACTTTCGTGAGAGGCTGGACAGGCCAAGTTGGATCGGTTGGACCACCTGCGCCTCGCTGCTGCTCTCCTGTCTTCCTATCAAAAGGGCACCCGTGGGCAGCAGAGCCACATATCCTACCTCTTGCTTGTCGTGCGACCGCCCTAGAGAACACCACGCCTGTAAGGTTGAGGCGTCGGGCTTCAGGGGCCCAATTGACAAGGTCAACGAAGCCATAGCACCGTCACAGACCAAAGGAAGGGGTTGAGGGAAGTTAGGGAAATGAGGAAGAAACAAACATCCAATGTGAACGAGGTGATGCTTGTTGTGGATGAGATGCGCACCAGCTTGGCGAGATTCCAGTCACGGATGTTGATGTTGATGGTGAGGCAGAAAGACAGCGAAGCAATTGCAGATAAAACAGCCAGTTGTCCCGCGGGTATCATTCATGGTCTTTACCGTTGTGCATACACGCACTCTCATCAATCTCATAAGCCTCCCAAATGCCAAAGTCTCATACAGAAGATCCCCATTGCTTGACATGGAGACAGGTCGATATAGAGTCCTTTCTCTCCTACCACATCTCAAAGAAACAAATCATCACGTTTCTGTACCTCAGCGTTCGTCAGCCTTCCACAGAGACTGAGCAAAGAGACAGTCTCGGTGGTTGCAAACCAATTGAGGGCATCAATCAAGATCTTCAAGTGTCGGTTGAAGTGCTCCTCGTACTTCCTGATAGATTCTTCTATCCTCTTCATTCGTGCTGGATCTGTGGGCGCAGCCGGAGATGGAACGGCTCCAGGCTTAAGCGATTTGGATTGAATGCTCGTGTCCGCTTCATAAATTGACTTGGTGACATGCTCAACGTATGAGGCGAACATCCCACAGCCGGTCATGAGTTTTGCGTGCAGACGAAGCAGCCTCGCCTGCGTCAATCCAAGATCCTTCATGCACGAGTCCAGCATGTCGACATGATCTTGCATCAATTCATCCACCGTAGGCTTCGTTTTCGGATTGAGTCCGGATCTGGTCTCTTCGAAATCATCACGTTCAGCATCATCAACCTTCACCATGAGCTTCTGCCAGTTCGGTTCAATCACTTCCGCAGTTGCAAAGAAGAGCATTTGCTGGACAAACACAAGCATTCGAGAACGTAACGTCCATACCCGCCGCTTCCACAACTCAAATCTCTTGTCGGAGGACTTGTGGATCCATGCTTTTTCCTTCGTATGAGTCGACCAGCAACCCACCAGTTGGGTTTCCAGGTGACGCAGAGCCAATGTGTACCGAAAGATGAGTTGATATCGTGAGACAGTTTTTCGACTAATGATGAGAGAAAGGGGGAACGGCACGGTGTAGTCAAGCTCGAGTGCATCAAACCCGATGATATCCTTCTCTTCCTCCTTTTTCTTCTCATCCTTGAACTTTTCATTTGCAGAAGCCTGGGCAGTGGCCGGCGTCTTGTATGGATCCATCATGGAATCTGGATTATCCTGATCCATGCCTTGCACATTGACGACCTTGATCAACCACTGCGTCAAACCAACCGAGTTCATTTTCACCTTCACGTCCTCCTTGAATGGATCCGCTACCGCGATGCTGCCTGGCTGGTGGAGGACCAGGTCTAGCAAAGACTGGAGTTTTCCAACGTTGACATCTCGATTCTTCTTCCGAAGCTCTGAATCGCTAAGTTCGAGAAAATAGAGAAAGAATTCCGCACGGTCGAGGAAAAAATAGTGCTTCATCGACCGTAACCGGCTACGGAGTGAGTTCTTTGTGAGAAGCAATTGAAGCAGCTCCTTGTTCGCAAACGAATAGGCGTTGTTGACATTGTCGAGAAATCGCGGGTCGTCGAATGTTGCCGGGATGTCGTCGATCTTGCTGCTGATGTTGACACCGCCACACTCCCGGACCACATTGAGATACTTTCCGGCGAGAAGGACCTTATCTCGAACGGATTCTAGCTGCGGTGGAATTTCCTTTTCGCGAATGTAATAACGCTTTTCCCAGTACTCATCTGTGTAGTCTTCGTCGAGGCGTTCTCGTTTGATGCTAGCCCTTTCGCCGATCAAGAATTCCGAGTGCGGATCGTGGATGCCGCCGTGATGCAACCACTCATTGAGCATCTCCATGTAAGGTCTGCTTGCTTCACGTAGCAGCATCTCCAGAATGGATCGAGCAGCCGGGTCTCCAGAGAACGTGGAAAGCCGCGTTGTCAAGAGACCCAGAACATTACCGCCTATACATCGTTTCTTGCCAAAGCTTCCCGGAAGTAGATCACCACCTTCCTTCAGGCGCTCAATGATGTTGTCGGCGTCGAAATCGTGAAGCGAGTCGTCGATGTCCTCTTCCAACAAAGAGTTCTTTTTCAACAATTCTTGGGCAAGAGAGTACAGCTGGGCTAAACATTGTGCGGTTGGGATTACTGCAATGTGCATTTGGTGTAATGTGAACTTCGGGTCAGTAAGGACCTTCATTTCTAGCTGTGCAATCAAAATGAGATAGTCTTTCAGCAGCTTTCGGATGGCCGCACAAAGTGCGTGGTTGACGGAGCCAAATTCTTCCCTACTCTGAACTTCGATAAATGCCTCGATCGCGCAGTGATGAGTGGCCATCGAGAGCATGGAGCTTGTCAAGTCTCGCAAGCTGGGATCGAGACCGGGAAGTGGATGAAATGATGGCCCGTTCAAGCGGTCTTTCTCCTCCGCAGGATCGTAGTTGTGGTGGAAACGGACATATTGCCCCTCAAATCCCATAAACACATAGAGCAAATCGTCCAATAATGCACGCTCTTGCTCCTGCATCGACATAGCCTCGAGAGGAACGGGGTCCAGATTTGAGGGAGTGTTGCGGGACAAAGGTGGTGCTGTAACCCTTGTAGCCAAGGGAGCAGAAGAGTGAGCAACTAAAGAAACCGACGGTGCCCATGGTACTGTAGGATTGTCAGAGAGCGAGAGGCTGAAAGCACCAAGGATACCTACAATTCTCCTCATTTGGCGGTTGCTGCTTGAGCACAGGGCTTGCTACCGTCCGTTTGTCCTTCCGGCTTTCGGTATTCGACGTGTCTTTCTTTGGACTCCTTCTCGTATAAAAGGTCTCGGTTGTTGTGACTGTCGTCTTCTCCCGCCGTCTCTGTTCGAGACCAGTCACTCGACTCTCACTTTTTGAAGGCTTGTGCACTCCTTCAGCATGTCCATTGAAGCCATCTGGATGCACCGGGGAGCCATTATCGCGGGTAAATGGTCGGTCGTCTCTGGCTCTGGAGGGATTAACGCGCGAGGGGCCGTTCAATAGACTGGCGCTTCGGCGGTCAGTTGCAGATGCGCTTCGGTAATGTAGGGACGTCATCTCTACAGGCCGTCATCGTTGTATGGCAACTAGTCGCAAGCAGCAGCAGCTGAGAGGGGGTTGTTGGAGGGCGAGGTTCTGGGGGGCGAAGCGTGCCTAGACGGTCACTATGGTTCAATGCGCTGGCGCGTCGAGGCTGCGTTAGGGCTTGGCTGCGGAGGGACTTTTTGGAGAAGGCTGAAGATAGGATTGCGCATCCAGAGCTTGCCTGTTCAGTGTTCACACCACAATACCATAAACTCTTGCTTCTTGTTTCGATCCAAACTTGTGGTTTCGACCACCATACGTGCAGATTCCTCCCATGAGAACATTCTGACCCTTTATTAACCATCATCTGGACCGATTTTCGCCATGTTTATAGCACGATCAGAATACGACCGAGGGATCAAGTGAGCCTATTTTGCTATTGCAACGAGGCCCGTGGCTAACAAGAAGCAGCACCTTCTCGCCAGAAGGTCGTCTATTCCAGGTTGAATATTCGTTAGAGGCTATCAAGCTCGGGTCAACAGCAATTGGTGTATGGACATACTCCCCTGACCGCTTCACCACTTGCTTATGACTTTCAGGTTGCGACATCACATGGCGTCCTTCTCGGTGTCGAAAAACGCGTTACATCACCCTTACTCGTCTCGTCCAGCATAGAAAAGATTGTGGAGATCGATAGACACGTTGGCTGCGCTATGTCAGGTCTTCAGGCTGATGCGCGGAGTATGATTGAACATGCTCGCGTGGAGTCACAAAACCATGCCTTCAACTTCAACGAAAAACTCGGAGTCGAGAGCTGTACGCAAGCCATCTGCGATCTAGCGTTGAGGTTCGGTGAAGGAGCACAGGGAGAAGAATCAATAATGAGTCGTCCATTTGGTGTTGCCCTCTTGATAGCGGGGTGGGATGAGGATCAAGGCCCGCAGCTGTAAGTGACGTTCCGCAATCTGGGATATTCGTTGCTCACTGGTCCAGGTATCACGCAGAACCCTCGGGCACGTTCTACCGCTACGACGCAAAGGCCATCGGATCCGGTAGCGAGGGAGCCCAAGCAGAGCTACAGTCAGAATATCACCGATCTCTGACTTTGGAGGAGGCCGAGACACTGGTTTTGAAGACACTGAAACAGGTTATGGAGGAGAAGCTGGATTCAAAGAACGTACAACTAGCCAGTGTCACCCGTGAGAACGGATTTCGGATCTACAGCGACGACGAAATGAGCGCCGTGGTCGCCAGACTCGAGGGAGATTAGACTCTCGTAGGTTCATGCATGTGTGATGGCATTGTTCGGCGTCTGGAGTGGATGAGAACATCAAAAATGTCCTGTACGGGAGTGGATAGTGAACATGGTCTTTTGGTGACCAGACTGAACCTCGAGTGACCCAGTCACAACTGGAGGTGATTCTAGTCGCCATGGCGTTGCCAATCACAGACATCTTCTACTCCCTTGTGAATTCGATTTTTTTTATTGCAAACGACTGTGTCTATTGCTATGCTAAAGACCAGTAGGATCTGTCAGGTTTCTAATTGTGTGGCTAGAAAGGTCCATACCAGTCTGCAACCCCGACTTGGTGTCTCTATTCATATGGGCGCTCTGCTTGCGGAGTGATGCGTGCAATGTGTCGTCGTTGACCATCCTGCCAGTCGATCAGAGCAGAGTGCGTCGTGACACGATTGTCCCAAACAACCACGGTGCCTGGCCTCCATCTGACACGGCACTGAATATCCTGGCTCAGGGCGATATGGTCATACAAGAACTTTAGGAGGTAATCGCTCTCTTCCTGCTTGAATCCGACAATGTATCTGGTGAATTGAGGGTTCACATACAGAGCCTTCTCGCCAGTCGCCGGATGGGTTCGCACGAGAGGGTGGATGGAACTATTGCTTGTCAATCGTCTATTTCCTCAAGCCAGCACGAGGCTACTTACGAGACTGGTGCACGGCGGTAGATGCTGCCCCGGTTTTTGGCCGCAGTGGCCTGTTCATAGCCAGAATGGACAGCCTGCAGACCCGCCAGGCGTTCCTGGAAAGCTGGAGAGAGTCGTTCATATGCCTTGACCATGTTGCAGAACAGAGTGTCGCCACCCGCGTCGGGGACGTCCAGGGCATACAAGAATGTGGTCCCAGGAGGCTGGTGTTCATAGGTCACATCGCTATGCCATGCGATCGAGTTGGTTCGGCTCGTGAGGAAGTCGAGGAAGGACTTGTCATCAGCACCACGGTGGACAAGGTGGACTTCAGGATAGCCCTCTGGAGCACCACTGTCAGGAGGTCAGCAAGACTGTTGGTTCAGCAAGGGGACAGGGAACGGGTGAGATTGCTTGCCTGGTAGGATGGATGTGCAGTCTTCCAAAGTACCGTCCAAATTCCAAGGCCTTTTCAATAGGGAGAGAAGCAAAGTCCTGGTCTCGGAAAGCGACGACTTTCCTCTGGGCGACCAACAGAGCCAGTTCATCTTTGCCTTTGTCGTCGAGCTGGGAGAGTTGAACACCAGTCACCTCGGCACCGATCGACGCCGTGACGTTCTCAAGGTGGCTGCCGGCCTTCAAAAGGTTCTTGAACGAAGGGTCGGCATCCTTTCCATGCTCGTAATGCTCAAAGGGTTCCAAAGGCGGATATCTGTTTGCATCCCGAGGGAAAGTGAATGGGTTAGACTTATCGGAGGCCAAGCCACTGCGACACGCGCATATCGTTCAGGCTCAGGCAAGCACTTACAGTTCACCTTTCTCATTATCCCAGACAGGGAGATAGTGTGGGAAGCTTGCCGCCGCAAACCTCTCGTTGCCTTTCAATTCGTTTTCCTTGGAGAAACTCACAGTCTGGATGTCCTTGTACGATCCCACGGCCCCCTTGAGGGTGGTAGGTGCAGACGCGGTCGCCATTTTGAGAGATAAACTGTCTTCTTTACAGGCAACTACTATATTGGATCCTAATCTAGTTGGGCCAGATGCCAGGCTGTGAGAACACCCCTCTTTATACTACACCAAGGATATTCGGCACGAGAAATCTCTGACCAGAACTCCAACCAGAGGATTCGCTCATCGACGCTCAAATTGAAACATCAACCCCGCAGGGCAATGGCCGCCATGTGCGGTTCTCCGCTGGTTGGAGCCTGGCTATATCTATCTGGATTGATGAAAAAGCTCGGCCGTGGGTTTCTTCGTTGATGGCATGATTGCGGTCCAATTGAGACCTGATTGCGCTGTTCTCAGTGGTGAGCACGCCTTCTCGGTTGGTATTGCGTGATCTCCTCAAGTGGAAAGGTATACACTCTACGCAGCGCAATTCTCTATGCAAGTCCGAAGCCACGCCGCCGTGAGCGAGCAGATAAGCAATCTGGACCAATTACGATCCAACATGGAGCGTGTGAAGTGCTACAAATACTACGGAAAAGGGTACACCGTGCCTCGTTGTCGCTGTCGGCCTCGTCTCGGACGACGCCCGCCGCTGGCGATTGAGGCGGCAAACCGAGATCGGCAACGTATCCTACACTCAGAGGCGGTTCGATTGGATCCACACTGAGTGATCGGGCCTGTGCAGTGAGGTCTTCGCGGTCCTCTCCCATTCTGTCTACCGAATGACAGCGTCTGCCGTGGGTGATTACGCCTGGGAAGGAAGGTCGCAAGGACGCAAAATATGCAATATGCACGCTGATCTTTCCGAGGCAGTAGAATCGAGCACGGCAAGGAGGGACTGTTGGGAAACTGAAGTCCCGGGGGTTTCTAGGTAGGTATAAGACAGAAAGGTTGCCGTTGAAATCCCCGTCAGGCCCAGATCTTGGACCGCCGCCACAAGCTTCTTGGAGTTTTCTTGTCTCATCCTCGCCTTTTGGCTCCAATATGGCGTCTTCCAAGTCGAATGAGAGCTCATTCGACCCATCTCATGACTTGAAGGGAGAGACTGTTCCGGTTACTCTCGCAGTCGACGAGGGTCTTAGTTCTGGCAGCAGTTCCATTACCGAGGACAAGACCTTCCTTCGTGTCCATGGCGAGGAAAACTACGTGCCTATCGACAAGTGGGAGGGTCGGCATCGCTTCGATCCCTCGTTCCAATGGGAACCTGCCGAGGAGAAGAGGATCGTGCGCAAGATCGATCTGAAGATCTGCTCATGGGTCTGCTTAGCGTTCTTCGCGTGTAAGTGCCTTGAGATGCTTGTACACTAGTACAATGCGATTTGGAGTATTGAGACCATACCAGTGCAGCTCGATAGAGCAAACATCGTCCAGGCCTTGACAGACAACATGCTGGATGATCTCCACCTGACGACCAACGACTACAACTATGGACAGACTATTTTCTACCTGTGCTTTCTATCGGCGGAGCTGCCTTCCCAGCTGATATCCAAGAAGCTTGGGCCGGACCGTTGGATTCCGATCCAAATGATCTGCTGGAGCCTTATTGCCAGCTTTCAAGCCTTTATGAAGGGAAAGTCGTCGTTCTACACCTGTCGGGCATTGTTGGGGCTGATTGAAGGAGGGATAAGTCACCACGTCTCCGTCGGACTAGATCCCAACTGACATGCAGGGCACTTCATTCCAGATACCATTCTTTATCTGTCTTATTACTACAAGGGGAGAGAGCTGCCTGCACGGCTGGCGTGGTTCTGGACGTCATATCAAGCTACATCGATCGTCGGTGCGTTTCTGGCTGCTGCCATCCTCAACATGCGCGGGATAAATGGCCTCGCAGGGTATGTTCGTGACGCCTGACTATTAGAGACGAGTTGTTGACTTGGATATGTCTAGGTGGGCGTGGCTATTCGCTCTCGAGGGAACTCTCACAGGGCTTATCGGCATCGCCACCTACTTCTACCTGCCCCCTTCGCCATATCAGACAGCCTCATGGTTCCGCGGAAGAAAGGGCTGGTTCAACGAGCGAGAGGAAAAGATTATCGCGAACCGCATCCTACGTGATGACCCCAGCAAAGCCGACATGCACAACCGACAAGCCGTGACGCCGAAGCTGCTCTTCTACGCCCTGTGCGACTGGGAAATGTGGCCCATTTACGCCATCGGGCTGTCGTTCTTGATCCCCAACTACCCTGTCACGCAGTATCTGTCGTTGATCTTGAAGCAATCCTTTGGCCGGTTCGAGGTCAACATGCTCACCATCCCGTCATACGTGCTGTTCATCATCAACCTCCTCGCTTTCACCTGGTTGTCGGAGAAGACAAACCAGCGATTCCTTGTCGCGCTACTCAGCCAGGTCTGGTGAGTCTCGATTCCTTCTCGAAAGAGAGAAAGACGCTGGACTTATACATACGCGCACAGGTGTATGCCGTTACTCATCGCGTCGGAGCTCCTCCCCGCGGAAGCGTCCAGATGGGTGAAATACACGCTGGCCACGCTGCTCGTGGGCGCGCCCTACGTGCACGCCATCCACGTGGCCATCACCAGCCGCAACGCCGGTTCAGTCCGTACGAGGACCGTGGCTTCGGCGCTGTACAACATGTTTGTGCAAGCAAGCAACATCATCGGGTCCAATGTATGTCAAGACATTTCTTCTTCTTCTCCACGACTGACTGTTTCTTCTTGTGTTTTGCCTTTTCCCCTTTGATTTCGGTGCTGACGAATCGCTCGCTATACACATAGATTTTCAGAACGGACGACGCGCCCCAGTACAGGCGTGGATACAAGGTCCTCATCGCCATCTGCGCGTACAATTTCGCCCTGTTCATACTTGCCAAATGGTTCTATATCTGGAGAAACGAGTACGTAATATTTCCCCCCTTCTTTCTGTTGTGGTTTTGCAGGTTACATACCCACGCCTAACTATGTACCTATCTACCATCGCGATTATTTCCGCCCTGCATTGCTTGCTGACTGACGTGAACCCGCCCTCCAGAGTGCGGGATCGGAAGTGGAACTCCATGACAGCGGATGAGCAGCGCCATTACCTCGCGACAACGACGGACAAGGGGAATAAGATGCTCACATTCAGGTTTGCACATTGAGAAAGATTTGAGACCCAGCGAACTAGAAAGCGTGCGAAATAGACAAGTTGGGTTTCACGTGATCAGGCGTTGGCCTCCTGACGCGCTAGTGGCTAGCCTCGTGCCGCCTTCGCGAGTCTCATGTGTTTAGGAGCTGGGACAGCGACTACAGCTACTCTAGTGTATGGCAACGTCAAAAAGAGGCCACGAATGTCTCCTGGCCAGTTGTATTGGAAGACCAAGCTGTCCCTGATAGGAGCCGGCTGCTTGGTCTGACGAGAAATATGTACAACCGGAGAAGGAACAACACGACCAAACCCTGAGGCGGGACCATCCCCTGAACATCATGTCGTCCCGGCGCCTGACTACGTTGACTTGGTGAGCCCCAGCTCCTCGTAAAAAGCGTCGGTCTTGGGCTCCCGGCCAAGGAATTCGATCAGTGTCTTCATTTCGTCTTGACTGCCGCCCTTTTCGAGGACGGTGTGGCGGTAGCGGCGACCCTCTTTGGGATCCATGGGATTCTTCTTGAAGACCGTATAGAACATGTCCGTCGAGTAGACCTGGGAGGAGAGGTATCCGTAGTAGCCTGTAGGGGAGAGAATGTGAGTTGCGTCACTTGGAGAATAGGACGGGAATCCAGCTTCATGGCAAAAAGACAAGTGGCACGGCAAAGAACATAAAACTTACCGGCATCATAACCACCCATGAGATGGCCAAAGGTGGCTTGCCCATTACCCCAAGCGTTGCCTTCGCCAAACACCTCCGGCCCATCAATCTTGCTAATGTCCTTCCTCAAGGCGTTGTACGTCTCGGATATGTTCATCGCTTCGAGGCTGGCATGGTCTTTAGGTTCGTGTATCGTCATGTCGAAGATGCCAAAGTGGAGTTGGCGGAGATTGAACAAGGCGCCATTGAGGTTCTTCGTTTTGATCAGTTTCTGTATCAGATCATCTGGGATGCGCTCCTCGGGCTTCTGGGCGCTCGAGACACCAGCTGCCTCTTTCCATGCCTCATAATATTCGGACGATAGCGTCGAATAGTGTCTACTCAAGGACTTGAGCTGGGATGGCGTCCAGCACCAATTCTCCAACATCTGGCTTGGTGCTTCGACAAAATCCCTAACGGTGTTGGTACCATGGAATCGCGAGTAGGTTGTACGTGATACAAGATCATGGATGCCATGACCGAGTTCGTGGAAGAGAGTGGTGACTTCATCGTGTTTTAGCAGACTCGGTTTCTTTGCCGTGGGTTTGGAGAAGTTGCACACGAGAGCTGTGGCTGGGTATCTCCTCGTTCCGTTTTCTTGGATGAAGCCTGGTTGGAGATTGAAGTTGGCAGCATGTCCATATTTGCCAGTGCGAGGGAACAGGTCCAGGTAGAGGTATCCCACAAAACCTCCACCTTCGCCTTCGTCGTCCCAAACGCTAAAGACCTGCACCTCCTCGTGCCACACAATATCCTCGCCCTTGCCGGATGGAGAAACAGTGTCTCGATCCTTGCCTACAATCTCCACAAAGACCAGGCCGAAGATTTGTTCAAAGATCTCAAGCATGCTTTTGATCGTGGTTTGCAGTGGAAACCACTCCGAGATCAACTGTTGGTCCAGCTGATAGTCCTTCTCTTCCATCATCCGGTCGTAAAAGCGGTGGTCCCACAGATAGTAGCGGCCATCAAAGTCCTCGCCACGAGATTTCAGGTCTTCCTCTTTCATTTTCTTCAAAGTTGCAATCTCGTCCAACCCCCCTTGGCTCAATCGGTTGCGCAAATCAGCCAGGAAGTCGTCCACAGTCTTGGTGGTCTTTGCCATCTTGTCCTCAATCCTGAAAGCAGCGTGGTTGGGGTATCCAAGCAGGCGAGCGGCTTCATCTCTGAGCAGGATGGCTTCTCGAAACAACGGAACGTTTTGATTGCATTTGTTCTCGTTGGCAATAAAGACTGTACGTCTCGTGGCGCTGTTTGTCGCGTATTTGAGCGTAGGAAACAGGTCAGGGTATTTGAAGGTCAACCAGTATTTATCTCCCTCTTTCTTCAGTAAAGACAAGACGTCTTCCGGGACACCATTGAGCTCTTCAGCGGTGAACCACAGACCACCCTTCTCTTCATTCAGGTTCTTGGAAAATGCAATGCCCAGCTGGCTGAGTCTCTTCTTAATCTCCTTGAACCGATCCCGCTTGGGTCCTGCAGGAATATTCAACCCATTTCGGACAAAGGCCTTATGCTCCTTCTCTAACAACCTCTGGGACTCGGAATCCAGCTTGTCCCCTTTTTGAAGTACGGCGTCGACCAGATTGAAGACATCCTCCCGCATAGCCGCTTCAATGCTGAAATCATCCATGAGTTTCTCTGCTTCAGTTGAAGCATCCCGTAGTGCCTGGTCGGTGGAGACGGACTGATAAAAACCCAGAATGTGGGCTTTCAATGTTTGCTGATTCTCGTCATGCGCCATGGGAAGAAGCACATTCTTAAACGTGGCATCCTTGTGCGAGATTTGAGCAACAATCTCGTCCGTGATTTTCTTTGAGCTAGCCAACATGTCCTTCGTGTCTGTCACGAGTGATTCAGGCGTTGCCGTGAAACTGGGAGGCGCCTGCGGAGGCTTGCGAAACTTTGCGGAGGCCATGCTGGAGGTTGTCACCGGTCTGAGAGAGGACGTGGACGAAGACGCCGGCTTGAAGGGTCTGACTTGGTTCAGGATCGAACCTAGCCGGGAAGTCGCACGAAAGGGAGCCAGGCTGATGATGCTCACGAGGGAGAAGAAGGCGATGGAGGCGAGGAGGACGAGTGAGCTCTTGATTCGAGCCAGCGTGACAGATGGACGGGGTCGACAATTTACAGCTAGAACATGGATAGGAAGGGAACGCGATCTGGACACCGCCAAAGAACAGTGTCTGGCTTCTTCGGGCAATAAGATCAGGAGGGAAACTCAGTTAATACTTCGAAGGTTCTTTCGTTTCAGTGACACAGAAAAACGCTAGACTGCGAACGCGGACACGGACTCCCTGTTCTGCTGTTCTTCTCCGCACCGTCACCAATTCCATGCGTGTTTCTCATTCACCAAGCACTTTATACTACCGAGTACATAATCGCGATTATACTCTGTCCATAACCAATATCATCCATCTTCACTTTCTGAGAGCTGTGTCTAAGCCTTTTCCAATCCGAAACACCAAGCCGGTCTTGTTGCAGCGACCTCTGACCCCGATCTTCACCGCGATCAAGCCTCGAACTGATCTGCATACTCGGGTACGAAGCAAGTGACCTAGATGTTCCAACCCAGCTCGATTTGAGGTCGTACAGGTCCCCAGGGAAGCCAATCGCTTCATTTTGCCTTATGCAACCGAAAAAGATGGTAAACATTTCATGAGGCCGGGCCGACCCAACCTAGGCCCGTACACTATGGAGATGCGCAGCTGAATGCCTTTGTACGGCCGGAAGCAAAGTGACATTGATGATTCAAACGCGCCGTATTGATGCATGGGTATATTTTAACAGACGCATCAGGACTCTGATTGCACAGTTTGACTGCGAGGTGTTAGAACAAGTCAACGTGCAACTTCGAAGCGACAAACTCACGAAAGCCAATCCATTCCCTCGTTGATCCCTTTGCCATCGATCACCGAGCAGGCCACGATACTCCAATTCCGGTCTCTCAACTCACCCAGCTTCAAAGCTTCGGAGATCTCGCCCGCCCCTTGTGCACCGGGCTGCTAATCGTGAGCCACGATCCAAAGATCCTGAGATATTCCGTACCTGATCTTGCTTGTTCGCAAACACCAGTAAAGCTGCATCCTTCAGTTCGTCCTCGTTCAACATCGACCTTAGTTCATCCGCGGCAATCTCTAATCGTTCAATATCGGTCGAATCAATGACAAATATGACGGCCGCGGTGTTGGCGTAGTATGATCTCCAGTAGGGTCTTATTGATGTTTGTCCGCCCAAGTCCCAGACATCAAAGTTCAGGTTGCCATATTGCACGGACCTAGGGAATAGCAGATTCAGTCTTTTATGCCAGTCGTTTATAATATTGGGAACAACTAACTCCACATTGAATCCTATTGTTGGTATCGTGGTCACCACTTCACCAATCTGTCCCACTTAGACCAAGATCCAAGCCCATCGTTCATGACCTACCTTGAGTCTATACAGGAGAGTGGTCTTGCCAGCATTATCCTTTGTCGACGCCTGTCAGCCCATTTCATCCTCGGTGATCATCAACCAAACAACGCACAAGACCAAGTATCAGAATCCTGATATCTTTCTTCCCCCAGATGAGGTTGGTGAAGTATTTGGAAAACGAGCCCCCCATGTCTAGCAACGGAAGGCAGTATGTTTTAGGAGAATTGAGAGGACAATTGGTCACGACAAAACCATGTCGCTGGCTTCGAGGTGGAACTGGGGTTTCTTCGAATGAAACTGGTCAGGTTTGGGCACAGGTCATGTATCGCTGGTCTCGATAATTAGAATGTTCCCTCGATGGAGACTTGATCTCACTTTAATAAATTGTGAAGAAAAAACAGAACGAGATAAATATTGATGGCCAACGATGTTGTAGTGGACGGAAGACTTGGGAGTCGAGCCACTGACCGCCCGATGATCCGGGGTGGGACTTTCCTCGCTGCTTCTTCGACGCGTGCCACCAACTTCGTAAATTGCGGAGTACAAGCCTCTTTCAAATCAGCGCAACTTGACTTTGAGCCCTGGCGACTTTTCATGCCACATGTTGTACCATCAGGACTCACGATCTGAACACTCTTTCCACACAACCTCACGCCGACATGGTCCCATAGACCGCCTTAACTCGCAACTCCTCCTTCGTTCCTTCCTCTATTCCTCCCATTGAATACGAAGCGGCTCTCCAGGAAGAGAGAGAACTGGGACAAAATGGTGGGCAAGAAAAGTGGAAAGGCTCTCCTGCGGGAGGAAGGCCTGGAAAGAACTGACAAGTATGTTACCCATACCTCGAATATCGTTCCTCGAGTCTGGCCAGTTGTCGCTGCTGGTCAAGCCATTGAGAAAGCAACAAATCACTAATTGACGGCCTATAGCAATATGGAGCTTACATCCTGGCCCATAATCCAAGCCATAAATCAAAAGAACTATTACACAGACTATCTCAAACGAGATGAACAAATACTCGCCTACCGGTCGCAGCAGGAAGAAGCCCGCAACAAAATGGTGAAGCAAGCCAAAGACAGGGATAGGGCACTTGCGCAAGGGAAAACAGTTGGGCCTGATGGCGATATCGAAATGGACGATGGTGAAGAGGAGGCCGAAGACGAGGCTGCGAGCGGGGCGAAGACAATCGTCATCCACATTGGATCGCAGAATCTAAGAGTCGGTCTTGCCAACGACGCTCTCCCAAAGACTGTTCCCATGGTCATTGCTCGCCGTTCGGCCAAATCTGAGAGCGAGGAGGGGGATGGAGAACCAGCACCCAAACGGGCCAAGTTAGATAACGGTCTGCCCCCTCCAGAACCAGAGAAACGTTTTGGCGAGGACTTTGCAAAGAAATTCTCGGGCATGTCTCAGGATCTCAAGGTACGAATGAGGATGAACAAGAGAAAGGTGCTGCCGCAGTCGAGAGACATGGTCACCAGCTACAACCGACGAAATACTTACGAGACCATCACCGAGCACAATGATACCATGCGTATCGAGTGGACGGATACAAACGACGGGCACGGTGATCCTCCCGCATACATTACAGGGAAAGCGGCTCTGCGCATCCCTGATCAATCAACGCCGCGCTACAAACTGTTCTGGCCAATTCGATATGGTTGGATCAACGAGCAAGACTATGACTCGAAACATTTCCTGTATGATGATATCCGCATCATCATCGAAGACGCCATCAAATCCCAACTCGAACTGAAATTGCGCACTCGGGAAGACTGGAACCAGTACAGCTGTGTCATAGTCATTCCTGACTACTATGAAAGGACATACGTGACCAGTCTACTCGAGATGGCTATCACCGAGTTCGGATTTGGACGTGTTTGCTTCATCCAAGAGAGTTTGGCGGCTTCCTTCGGTGCCGGTTTTACTACCTGTTGCATTGTTGACATTGGCGCGCAAAAGACAACAATATCTTGCGTTGAAGACGGAATGGTCCTTGATAACTCCCGGGTCAACCTGAAATTCGGCGGGAGAGATATCACGGAGACTTTTGTCAAGATGATCATCTACAACCACTTTCCTTACTCTGAAATCAATTTAAACCGACGCTATGACTTTCAACTGGCAGAAGAGCTGAAGCAAAAGTTTTGCACCATGACCGAGGCAGATGTCTCGGTGCAATTGTATGACTTTCACCTACGCGCGCCGGGTCAGGACACCAGGAAGTACACATTTAAGATCTACGACGAAGTCATTCTTGCCCCGATGGGGCTTTTCAAACCTCAAATCTTTGATAACAGTGGGAAACTTAAGGGTCGTCGTAAACTTGTCGACAAATCCTACGACATCTACGACAACAAGCCAAATGACCCGAGCTCCACGGCGCAAGCGGAGATCCTTACAGCCATCGCTCCAGAAGAACTTCTTACCTCGACAAACAAGCCCGCCACAAAGGCTAGTGGACATACAAATGGCGTTCTCACTAACGGGACAGCGACGAAAGAGGAAGCTTTCAACGACTCCCGTCGTCCATCCTTTAGCAACATAAAGGAAATGGATGCAACACCACAGCCGTCAGCCGCCAGCTCTCCCGCCCGCAACCTGCCAGACGGCACACCACAACCTGGGGAGGAAAACGAGGGCGGCGCTCCACGCGAGGAGAAGCCTCCAATTCCTGAGGTGGAAGAGGAAGAACCTCTTTCCATCGAACGCCGCGACGATATCCTGCCTATCTACCCTCTCCCTAATGCCATCGTCACGTCCATTACCCATGCAGCTAGAGGCTCTTCCCAAAAGACGTCCGATCTCCTCTCCGGCATTATGCTTACCGGCGGCACGTCCATCATACCCGGACTCGGGTCACACCTCGAAGAGAGTTTGAAGGGGATCCTCCCCGGCTACAGCAAAGACATTCTGATCGGACGTCCGCCCAGGGAACTAGATCCCCAGGTCGTTGCGTGGAAAGGCGGCGCTGTTTTTGGCAGGATGAGTCGTACCAATGATTCGTGGATCAATGCCTTTTTGTATGAGAGGCTGGGTGAGCGCATATTGGCGCACAAGCTAATGTGGGCATGGTAACCTGCAGTGATTGACACTCATATTACCTCTTTCGTGGTGGAGGTGGTGTCATTTATAGCGACATGTTGGTGGGTTTATCCGATGACCAAGAGGCCGCTATGCTTGGGGGACGTGTATCTGATCATTTAACTGTTGTTTTTCATGGATGCCTTGCTTCCAAGAGCAAATGCTTTAGAGCCCTGATGATTTGTCGTAGCCATCCTCCTGACTATATTATCAATCCGAGACTATCGGAGGCCATGCATATCCGCCTCATCAAGACGAGCACAAGATCTCTCTTCTCGGGGCCCAAATAGAGCCGTCGTTGAGCATCCGACTAGCCGAATCAATCGCGATCTCCCAGCTCTCAATCGCTTCGAAAAGATACTGAATTCCTTCAGAACTTCGCCTTCAGCCAGCCCACCAGCGCCTCGCCAAACTCCTTGGGCTTGTCCAAATGAGCCCAGTGGCCCGAATCAACCACGACCTGCGTGCTGTCTGGGATCAAACCGGCATCCAGACTTCCCTGGAGCAACTCGGGCCTGCAGACCATGTCCCTCTTGCCACCCCAGAACAAAAACGGGCGCTTGACGGGGATGTTCTCCTTGGGGATGTTAGCGTCAGCTTTGTGCTGCACGCCAAACACCATGGATCGGTAGTAATTGAGCGGGGCGTCGAAGCCTCCTTCCTTCATGGAGGCGATCCACTTCTGCTTGCGCTCCTCGGTTGCGTAGGCCATCGTGGGCTGCCTCTTGTCGGCCAGAACAAAGTTTCTCACCCCATCGGGGTAGCACAGCGTCTCGAGCCAGGTCTCGGGCTCGCCGTGTGCGACGTCCCACATGGCGTCCAGGTGCCCGTCCAGGACCTGTGCACCGTCGTCGGCTGTGAAGAGCTTCCAGTACCAGTGGGTGCCGTAGCCGAAGATACTCTTAGTCAGTTCGAGGACGTTGTCGAGATTGAATGGTTCCGGTGACGGAGGCATATAGGACACGTTCAGAAGAATAAGGCCGCACACACGGTCAGGGTGGAAGTTGTAGAAGCGTTGTGCGATAGCGGAGCCCTGTTGAAAACGATTCATGAGCGTCAGAATCGAGGAAAGTAAAAGACGAGAAATATTCGGTCTGCAGAGAAGGGCATTGCAGGGAATACTTGCCCAGTCATGACCGACGGAAATGACCTTGTCGAGACCCTCCTTGTCAACGATCTCCTTGAGGTCTTGGGTCATCAGCTGCATATTGTACGATTCCATGTCCGTGGGCTTGGAGGTGCCATTGTAGCCCAAGCAGTCTACAGCAATCACACCGTACCCATTGGGGAGCAAATAGTCTCGGATCGCGTCCTCATAGGTATCCGGGGCGTCTGGGAACCCATGGATCAAGAGCAATGTAGGGCGACCATCCTTTGCGGGGCTGGTGTAGTAGGTATAGGTGAAGCCCCGTGTGACCTTGAGCGTTTTCTTCTCCAGCACATCCATTATGGGGGGACAAATTTGGTATCCTTCTGATGATGATACAAAAGGGAAGTTAAGTGAGGGGTTGGGGGCCGGTAGTTCTTATTCACCTCTTGAAAGAGGGACGAGGCTCTTGACTTATATAGCACGAGTCAGCGCCGCGCCGAGATTTTGGGACGTCAGTTAGAACGGCCATGCTCCTCGCGAATAGCAGCGACAATGGGCCAACGCGCGTAAGCAAACAAGGTGCTGGTAAGAACTTTTGGTCGGCCAATCCGGTATTGTGGGGGAGTTGAAAGTCTGTATACGACGCAGCCATGAACCAATTACTGTCGAGTTTCCCGAAGGTGCTTGCGCTTGTTCCCGATACAGTGCAACCACTCTCTGCATTTCTCGTCGTAGGTGCGCTATCCTTGAGTATTGGAACTTCCACGCCGATCCTTTCTCGCTGTCTACCATCCCGGAGTATCCCACACAGATGATCTTCCTTCAAAGAGACGGCGGACAAAGGTTGGCCTCGAAGCGTTGGTAATGACTGTGACTCATTGACAATATGAGCAGGTTATTCGTCAACTGAGGACGAGATGGCCCACTTGTAGGATTCATGCTAAGTCTCAGGCAGCCATTAGCTGAGAAATCAACCTCACCGCAATTGGAACATGGTGTGAGTATCATGGAGTATCGACGCAGGAACTGTTTGAGTCTGCGATATCAAATGCGCGTATCTCGTATTGGCAGGTGGGGAAATAGCACGTGATACTGTGGTTCATTACGAGCTCCTATTGGCTGAGATCTGGCCACTGAAATCCGTCAAACTGTTTGGAGGAATTTCCAATGCGGAGTGATTTTCTCTCTCCAGAAATGTCCATCTCAATCCATGAAATGTGCTTGTATCCCTCTTGGTAGCTTTTCCACGATCATCGTTGAGATTGTTCTCGTCAGACACATGTTGCAAAGATGAAGGGATCAATCTTCCGTTATGTGGGCTCGGTGTGCACGGGTATGAACTCGCTGCTCTCTCCTTTCCCCCATGGAAATGTTCTAATGTCCCTCGCAAGCAGAACCTGCACCCGCGCGGTTTGCAATGCATTGTCCACCCAATTCATGATGTTTCCTCGCCGTGTTCGCTTCCCACACATGGGCTAGCCTTTCGAACCTCCAAACAGCTTACGAAAGCCATATGCATTTGGCCTTCCAAATGCTCTTCTGCACGACCCCTGCACAGCGGACCGGAGGACCCCAGCCATGTCTCGTCGGCGGCTTCTGGCAGGGATGACGACGACAGTACTGAAGATGATCCTGACCCGCTTTCCACGGCGCAGGGAGCGAAAATTGTCAAGGCACGCAAACCATTTCGCATCAGTATTCCGAAAGTGAATCTCGAATCCGCTCTAGAGACGATGAGACTGGCTCACACGCACGGGCTCAAGCTCGATGAAGTCGTTCTCAAACCGTCGCCAAAACAGTCCAACTCCTCTACGGTTCCTGCTGTTCCATTGAAAAGTGATGAAAGACTCGGTTCCAAGATGAAAAATAATCTTGAGCTAGCAAGACAGCAAGGCAGGATGAAGGAGACTCTTCGATCGAGGCAAGCATTACCTCTGATGGCTGAGGGGACGCCGCAAGCGCTGCTGAAAGCGGTTGAAGACAATGATGTGGTGATTATCTTGGCCAAAACAGGGTCTGGGAAGACGACGCAAGTCCCTCAGATCATTCTCGATGACAGAATAATGTCTAGAAAAGGTCCTTGTACAAACATTGTTTGCACCCAACCCCGGCGGATGGCGGCGACCTCTGTGGCTCACAGAGTGGCTCATGAGCGCCATGATACCATGAGAAATAGCGTTGGCTACCACATTCGCAACGATAACTGGTCTCCGAGTCCATCCGGTAGCATAACATATTGTACGACAGGGATCCTACTCAATCGCCTCATAGCCAATCCACAAGCAACCTTGTCATCCCATTCACACATCATTGTTGACGAGGTCCACGAACGCGATATCCAGATCGATCTTGTCCTCTCGCTTCTGCGAAAGACTATCCGGGCTAGAAAGATGGCACAGGAGAGCTTCCCCAAGGTCATCCTGATGAGTGCTACTATCGACCCGACGACCTTTGTCGACTATTTCAAGCAACCAGCCGAGGACGGTACTACGCTCAATGTCGATAGCCTTGACGTAGAAGGCAGGCGTGCGTATGTCGAAGCCCACTATCTGCCGGAAATCCTCTCAGAATTGTCTCAAGAGGGGGACCTACATCCCTCTATACGCCAGTTGATCCAGGGTGGTCACAAGCAATCCAGCGCACAGCACATTGAACATGAGCTGCATTTTTCTGCCAGGCAAACGAAGCTGGCATCATCGCATTCAGGCGCACTTAGTCCTGACGAGGAATTGCCGCTGCCAAGTGCTCCTTATGAGATTGACTCTCCTGGGATCACCGGTCCAATGCGCGTGGGCCTAGCTGTCTCCGTTATAGTCCATATCGCGAAGACCAAGCCTGATGGCGATGTATTGGTGTTCTTTCCGGGTTCAACAGACATGGAAAAAGTCGAGCTTCTTCTGACTAGTGGCCGCTTTGCTTGCCTGGGACTTGACTTCCAAGATCCGAATAAGTTCCGGTTATTCAAACTTCACTCTCGGCGCCGGGAAACGAATGATCAGGTCTTTGAACCTGTTCCAGAAGGCTGTCGGAGAATCATATTGACGACGAATATTGCAGAGACCTCGATCACACTTCCAGACGTCGTCTATGTTATCGACACTGGTAAGGAGCGGAACAGTCTCTTTGACCCTTCGACCCTGGCTCGGAGCCTGCCGTATGCTTGGATCAGCAAGACCAGCTCAATTCAAAGACGCGGTCGCGCTGGACGGGTTCGAAACGGTCATTATTATGCTCTGTTCTCAAAAGAACGCCACGACTCGCTTCGACCAATGCAACGTCCCAAGATCGAGCAGTCCGATCTTGCGGAATTGGCGTTACAGTTTAAAGCTTTCCCCCAAACTGTTGATGCCGAGAGTCTCCTCCTCGACACCATAGATCCACCCGCATCGGAATCAGTTGCGAGCGCTATCAGACAGTTGCAGAGTCTAGGCGCGTTGACTGATAAAGGGGATATCACAGACCTAGGCAGATTATTGTGGCGCTTGGGGGTGCATCCAGCGCTTGGAAAAGGCGTTCTCTTAGGATCACTGTTCGGATGTCTGGAGCCTATGCTGATTATCGCCTGTCACGATCCTGAAGCTCCGCTGGTATCCAATCTAGAACTGAGTATCGACAAACTCAGAGCCGAGAAACAAAAATATCTCCCAGAGTTCGAGACTGACTTTGCTTGGATCATCGAGGCCTTCAAAGAGTACCATGAAGCCAGCCTGGCCGGCGACGAAAACCTCATGCAGGAGTTACGCGACACAAAGTTTATCCGCCACCGCTCTTACCAGGATATGATGATGACAAGCAAAGGGATTCACGAAGCTCTGGCGGAAGTTGGATTTGTTTCACCTCCACAGCCAGGCAGAACCCTTTTCGAATCGCTTCCTCACTCTTTAAATGTCAACAGCAACAACATGATCCTTGTCAAGGCTCTGCTAATCAATACTGTCAGTGCTGAACTAGCCGCCTGGCGAGGTGCGACTAGTTTCAAAGGCCGACAATATGGTTGGTCGACTGACAGTCGCGATCTCAAAGGCATGATATCGAAACACGGGGTGAATGAGGCAACCAATCGGCGGGACCGACGCAAGAAGAAACATTACCGTAGCCACGGTCGCCTGATGGCATACACATGGAAACAAGCAGGGCTCGATGGACCCGACGATGTCGTGTGGCTCGAACAGGGTTCCATGGTGACACCGCTCATGGCCATCTTGTTCTGTCGGAGTCTCAAGCTGCAAAAGGATCAGGTACTGGAACTCAATGAGTGGCTTCGGCTCCGTATCTTGACACCTGATGATGTTCCGCCAGAGATTTCGGAGCAAGCGGCGGCTATTCTGGTGGAATTGAGGAAAACGGTTGATCGATTCATCAATTCCGCATGGCTAGAGCTTGAAAAGCTGGATCGGCCTCGAGGGCAACGCGACTCTGAGAGTCAAGGGCAAGCTACCACGTCTAGTGGCTTGGGTCTCGAGCTGAGAAATGTCATGGTCGAAGCAGTCGTGAAAATGCTTGACGCCGATGAGGCGTATTGGAAGGAGTGGCGTGAACAGCGTCGAGTGGAGATTGCTTTGGATGTCGAACAGCGCCAGAGGGAGCAAGAAGAGGCAGATGCAGAAGCACCTGAGACGCAAGAGATGGACTGGGGATCCGAGGAAGAGCAAGAGGAAAAGCTCAAGCCCGATGCCGAGGGCGGCTCCAAGAACACTGCTGGTGTCCCAGGATACGAAAGGGCATCGGCATGACCCCTGATCCGGCGAGGGACATGAATTTCGCGATGCTAGAATGAGTCGTCCCTCTTTTCCAAGTGTATATTCAAGCACATTGTACAAAAAGTGAACTGGACCATGGCTATGGCTGTTTGTAAAAAGAGAAGCGCGAAACAATCGTGTACAACAATATAGAGGGTTACTGTACATATGTACACAAATATGCAGATATATCGTCCGAGCGGAATCGCGAAAGAGTACTCTTTCTCATCCGTACAGCGAGAGTATAGCATCCATGACCGTGATTCGTTGCTCTCACAGAAGTAGCAGTTCTACGAGGTATAGCACGTTAAATCTCCTTACGAGTGAAGCAACATACATGTGTGCTGTGGTGACCTGACCCGCTTCGACGAGCTATCTCCCTCGTCTGAAGGCGGCATCAGGTACCACCTTTGTTGCATCTCATAGCAGGCCTGTATTGTTTTTTCCCCGCGGCCTCGAGAAGTACTCGTACACAATCCGCAAGTGCCTCCGGGTTTCCAGGTGTATGGAGAGGGCCTTTGGTGTCGATGCGCGCTGTACGGTCTCGTCGAGACTGGGAATTATTGTGGAGAGCAAAGCGACGAGCTTTGTAGGTCAGGACGAATTGAGTCGAGTTCACACCGCGAGGACATGGGCTCAAATCGAGCTTTGGGGCATTCAAACCTCCTTCCGTTTCAGCTTGTGCAGCTGGAACAGCCAGGTCATGTACCGATCAAAGATGGTAGTCCAGGTGTAGCCGCCGGAGACAAAGTACACCAGCCAGCTTTTGTTGCCCTCCCAGATCCAGTTCCTCCTGGCGTCCCCCAACAGCCAACTCCAGGGCCACGGCCCGGCGCCAGGGAGGACCTGCTTGACGACACTCTTGGCATATGCTGCAGCGGGCATGGCGCCCTCCTGCGAATGGCCTTGGCGTCTGATGTAGTTGTCCTCGAGAGGGGCGTACAGGCTGTCCTCAGGCAGGACACGCTTGACATGAGAGTTGATGCGAGACTTGACACCGCCCGTGACGACGGTGATGACCTTGACGTCGAACGGGGCGAGCTCGACGCGCAACGTGTTGGCGTAGGCGTGCAGTGCGGCTTTCGAGGCGTTGTACACACCGCCAAAGACGTAGGGGATGACCCCGGCCAAGCTGCCGACCATGACGATCGTCCCGTGGGCTTTAATGAGCAGGGGCGAGAAGACCTGGCACATGCGCATGATGGCGAAGACATTGACGTCGAAGATTCTTTTGGCCTCGTCGATCTTGACGTCCAGAGCGGGCATCACGTACGAGATCCCGGCATTGTTGACTGTGCACAAACGATATCAGTTCAAGAAGTTTTTTTTTCTGTGTTTTTTGTAGCCAAACAAGGGTCACCAGATCAGGCTCACCGAGGTAGTCAAGACCACGGCCATCGGTCAATTCTGCGACACTTTTGAAGCAGGAGAGTATGGAGGAGTCGTCGTCGACCACCAACGGTAAAGTCTCAATGCTTTTCTCCGACAGGTCGACGATTTGGCCTGTGGTTCGAGCCGTGGCGAAGACTCGGAGTCCTCGAGCGTGGAAGGCCAGAGCAAGAGCGTGGCCGATGCCGCCAGGACTGCAGCCGGTGATGAGGACTGACTTGCGGTGGTCGGTGGTGGCCATGACCGCGACCCGGCCTTGGATTGGCAGAACCTGTATTATTATTGACGAGAAGCTAGAGCTGTGGTAGGAAGTGGAAGCTCGGCGGCAGCAGTCCAATTGTCCAGCCCAGCTCACCTAGTCACTTGGAAAAGAGGATTGATTGATTGATTGATCAATTGTGTTCCTCGAGCCATCATCCTTGTCTCTTCCCCCCTTCGTCATTGCCCCGCATCTGTGGGGGTCTAGTGACTGCGCTGCTCTGTATGGCGGCGGCGGCGGCGGCACGGTGGCCGGCCCTCCTCACCAAGCTTCTGAGCATCTTGCTATTAGGTAGCTACCTACAGTAGGCAAGTAGCCAGTGGTAGCGTACGGAGAGCAAGGCCCCAAAGATAGAGATCTACAGGGACAAGCACCAAGTTATTCCTTAAGTGACAGCATCTGGTCTGGCGGCTTCGGGGACTCGTTCAATTCCCACCCCTCCATGTGCTCGTCCGCAGTTGCCAACTGCAAGCCATAAGCACGGCCACCCTTCTTCCATTCTCCTTCAGCTCCTCTGCTTCTGAATATTGCTCAAAGACACTCTGAGAAAACGGAAGAAGCGATTTACTTACTCCTTCGACCGACTGTCGTCTAGATTCTCTGCTGTCTAGAAACGGGGTCTACCAGTCCACTCTGGTGGTCTTGTAAATAACTCATTGATCTGCCTCAGGCTGAGCGACTTCTCTAGTACTCGTACCTCTTAGAAGCACCACAACCCAATCCTCCCACCCTAGACCGATCATGTCCGCAGAAGTGAAGACCACGGCGTCTCCGGACCAAAAATGGCTCGACAGCTTCATCTCTCTGCTCTCCCGCTCCTACCTAACCACTCCCCTCACCACCGCCTTCATCACCGAGATTGACAAAACCAGCCCCTCGGCAGACGTCTCTCAGGTGATGACCCCGGAACGTCTCACCAAGCATTTTACGCTGGGTATCACGGCGGCCGCCAAATCCAATGTTGTCCTCATCGAGTCGGGCGATTTCACGGCCGCCGCCCTCTTCGAACCCCCCGATTTCTGCGGCATCCCCCCTTCGCAGGCCCGCCGGAATCCAGGTCCCATACTGCAAGAGTGGCGGAGCACGGCTCGCAGGTTGAAGGCCAAATATCTCTCCATCCCTGACCAGGGGGAGCACAGCTACGACCAGCCCGCAGCGCCCTCGCAGTCCTCGGGTGCTCCTTCGGAGGACCCATACCCGGCCGACTTCAACAAGGATACGGACTTTGAGACCCGCCCGTTCTATCACCTGGCTATGATTGCGAGGGATCCCGACGCCCCACCCGACAAGAGCAACGAGGCCTTCAAGGCCTGTATGGACTATTTCCTGAAAAGGGCAAGGGACGAGGGGGTGCCGGTCTGGCTGGAGACGGCCAGCGAGAGCGCCATGAAGGAATATGAGAGTCTGGGGTTCAGAGTGTGCGAGGAGGTGGTCATTGGGAAGGGGAGGGTCAACGAGAAAGGCTGGCCGACAGAGGGTGGCAAAGGCGTGATGACTTGGGCCATGATCTGGGATGAACACTTGAGTTGAAAATCGGACCACGACATCGCTGCTCACTGCCTGGCTGCTCACTCAGCGTTTGTGTAGCTAGCCTGGTTCATGACGAAGCTGGACATGAAATGGATCTATTATATATATACTGGCACATGTTGCAACCATCACATATGGAAATGTGCTGTTCGTACATGGCTTGTATTTGCGTTGATGGCGCGCCAATGGAGTCTACTAGGAAAATTCGACTCCTGTTTCCCAGCTAGACCTCCAGGCAAGACATGTGGTCACATTTTCCGTGTGTCGACTTGGGGGGAACATGCGAGGCTTGAGCAATGTTGGCGGATGGAAACGTATATGGGTGCCATGTCTTTGTCTGTTCCTCTGTTGGAATGATTCGAAGACAATGAAGAATTTCAAAGTCGCTTGTTCCGATGTGTCGACCATGATACTCCAGGTCCAAGGTGGGCGCGGGGACGGTATGAGATATCCATGTGAATGTAGTCTGGCGCATGGGGCCTTGGAAGAGAGCCTTTTTTGGTCTTCTGGCTCGCGCAGCTCCGACCTTCACCTCGTATAAAGAAACGTAGGCGCTCACGATTTGACACCAGTGGTTTATTTACAATAGACCTTCCAGTTCTCGGCAACCCACTTGGCGATCAAGGTCGTCAGATTCTCTCCAGGCATGTACTGGTCCACATCATCGTCCGAGTACTCGAGCCCCAAGAACCGGAAGGCCAAGATGATCCACGGCTCGATGAATTCGTTAAAGACAACATCCACGACGACGTCCTCGTCCGTGTCGAGGTTGATGGTGTCTGGCTGCGGGTTGATGGTTGACTGGATGCAGTTAGGGACTTGGTAGAAGGATATCGGGGTGTGAATTGTGTCGTCACCATCGTCGCCCAAGTCGTCGTGCGTGGTGTAGCCTGGAGTTAGACTATCGCCATCATCGTCCGAGAGCAACATCTGCGAATGATAGTATCTGTTGCTGGAAGAGAGGACGATGTCTTCTTTGACACTGATTTGTTCGGGTGGAGCCAGTTTCCACATGGCGAAGAATGGGTCGACACTCTCAAAGATTGGACCTCCGCGGTTCAGCATGTTGATGAGATGTTTGGCTTTGCTGTATGGCACGTCTTTGATATAGTGGAATCCGCTGGTGAACGGACAGATAATATAAGTTGAATCCTTTGTAAAAGCTCCCTTGAAGATGTCAAATCGAATTGCTCCTGTGTTAGATATGACGAGGCGCGGCCGATCGTCTCGCCTGACATCGCTGACAACGCCAGGAAAGACTTCATGCTCCAGCCACGAGAAGATGCTATCGTTGCTTGGATAAGGCGCACGGCTCATCCACAGATCTTTGGGAGCACAGCCAAATGTTTGATCTAGATCAAGCGCTTGACGAGCTTCGCCGATTGCTTCTGTAATGTTTCGCCCCCTCTCGGAATGAAATGTCGATTCATTGTGGCCTGAGTGGTGGTATAATGAGTATAGATTGTTGTCGATGTATCTCCTGAAGAAGATGGGATTTTCAGTCGTAGAGCGGCTGCTGTTCGTGGAGAGGCCGTCGATCGACTGGAAGCCAATAGTCTCCATGAAGCGGCCACTCGCAAGGCCGTAAGACTTGCTGTCAAACTTACGATAATCCCGGATATGGTAGTGGCCGCCAAAAAACTGGATAGGGGTATCCCACTGGATTGAACGGATAGCCTTGTAGATGATCTCAAATTCCTCGGACCGTATGGCAGCGTGACCAATGACAACAAACAAGTCAACGTCCCGATCACGAATGGCCTCTTGGAACCAGGGCTCTTGAATAGTCTGCTCGACTCGCTGGACCACCGTGTTATTGTAGTTTCGATCGAAATTGTAGAGAAAGCCGAAGCTCACGATACGAATGCCTTGATTCTTGGTAGTGAATTTCTTGTACCTTTGTGCAAGGGGGACTAGTTCCTCCGTATTTGGATCAATGATGTCCAGGTTAGAAGCAAGATAGCTGTCAGAATACGCCGGGGCAGTGATGAGATATTCATTTTCGGACGAATTCTTCTGGTAGAGTTCGTGGTTGCCGGAGCAGATGATATCCATGTGCTGCGCGCGAAAGATGTCGAAAGTGAAGAGGCCTTTGGGCTCTGATGCGTCATAGAGGCCATTGCCCTCGATGCGATCTCCCGTATCGACGATCAATAAGTCAAGGCCTTCCACATCCAGCTTCTCCCTCAACCGTGCCGCGAAATCGACATAATCGCCCCAGTCCGCGGAAAAAGATGGTTCCAGTAAGTGGCCGGCATGCCTAAGGAGAAGCAGTTAGCTTATGCTATCAACACCCCTGTATGAGCCTTGGCTCTTTTTGGACACAATTCGGTGCTAAGAAACGGTAGCCTACCAGCCATGGGTGTCCGTTGTGTGCAGGAAGTTGAGCTGCCCGAACCGCAGATCCCTGAGAGGAGAGGCAAACGCCTCAGGGGCTGATGGCTGCTTTGAGAAAGAGGACTCTACCAGAAGTGCCAAAGTCACCGCGATGTAGGTAAACATTCTGGAGACATCGACCACAAGGACTAAACCTTTCAATTCCCAAAACTTCCAATGAAAAGTCACTGGCCGCCGGCGGTTGGTCTGGATGATACTAGCGAGGGTGTAACGATACGATGGTTCAATGAGCCCCTGGTATGTGGTATGAGGTAGCACAAATTGGCGGGTGGTTCAATCACTGACAATTGCTTTACGAGTACTCGGTACAAGTCTTGGGGTGGCAATGGGATGGCAGGATGACTAGGAGGTTATCAGCATGGCCATGGCAACAATTCCCACAGCCTTGGTCACAACCACTCCAAACATGCCAAGGATTTTGGATCCGAGCTAAGCCTTACCTAGCTGGCTGGCAAGTGCCCCCTTGCCTTCGGTGATCGCAGCTTCCGTGTTGGGAACCCCAATCAATCCCGAGCTCCGTATTGCAGTCAGTCCGTTCTCAACTTCCAACAACTTTTTCTTTGGCCTTTGTTCACTTCAAGCCACTCTTTTCTGAACGGGACACAAGCACGTCGCTCAAGTCGACCTTGCCTCTCTACGGCCCACGATGTCTGTGTCCAGACTTTTCACGAACGCCTCGCGGCTGCTTTCACAGCGATCTGCCCTTTCCTCCTCAATACGTCCTTCCTTTCGCAGAGTCGCACCTAGATCCCTTCCTGCCATCCGAGGATATGCATCAGGGTCACAGCAGACATTCACAGTCCGTGATGCGCTCAATGAGGCACTAGCAGAGGAGCTTGAGCAAGATGAAAAGGTGTTCATATTAGGAGAGGAAGTGGCTCAATATAATGGTGAGATCTATGTCATTTAGGTACCAGATTCCAATGCTGACCGGTGATTTTCAGGTGCATACAAAGTAAGGGCCATTGGAGGTCTGCAGCTGAGATGCTTGCATTTGAGGGTCTCTGTCGCACTGTATCTCTTCGATGCTAACCATCTTATAGGTCACCAAAGGA